GTCCTCGGTCAGACTGGGCGCTTACCCAGGAAGTCAAAGATAACAATGAGGAGGGAGAAAGTCAGAGATGTGGGCGGCAGGCATGTCCTCAGAGGAGCAGGATTTTTTGCAGAAGGAAGGAGGAGGAACGGCCTGGAGGCAGAGTTGGCAAGCCAGGCGGCCGCCTACTCCACCTGCAGGCCCTGAAGGTCGTGAGATTTGAGAGGGAAAATAAAACCAGCTTCCACTCGAGAGGACTGGTGGGCAATTAATATCCTCAAGGAATAAACCAGGCCTCCACTGGGAAATAAGATGAAGGGCACTTTCAGACGATATGTCAATATTAAGGGAGATAGGGGAGTTTGCTATTGACTGGGGGTTCCACAGGGCACAGCGGCAGGGTTTGAAAGGAAGAGAAGGGTGGCATTGGGGTATGAACAGACCACTGTTGGGATGGGCTCTGAGGGATGATCAGAGGACTGAGGGCTTCTGTCTGGTGGTGAGTGATGTTAACAGGCATGTCAGGCCTTGTGGGGTGACTGTCCTCTGGGAAGGTAGACTTAGAGGCATGTAGGAAGTCAGATCAGGGCTGGGGTCTCCAGCACGTCCCCTCCGATGTGGTGGCTTCAAGGAGGGAGTCTATTCTGACAGATAGCACTGGGCTAACCCTCAGTTCACCTCAGAGGAACAGTCTGCTGATTCCTCCCACGGGGTCAGCTTATTGCCTCCTGGGCAGCTGCCAACCACAGGTCGTTGGCAGAAATGGTGTAGGAAATTGGCTCTGAAGTCAGGTCAGACCTGGGCTGCCATTGTGGTTCTCCCACAGTGCAGATCCAGTGTGTGCCCTGAAGCTGCTTAGTGATCCTCCCCAAATCTCAGTTTCCCAATCTGCAAAATGGCAATAATATGGCCTACTGGTGGGTTGTTGCGGGGCTGGAGTGAGGTAACACGTGGACAGTGCCTGGTGTCTAGCAAGGTCGTAATGAATGGCAGTCGTTGTTGTTTTCCATACTGTTCTCTCTTCCAGAATCTTCCTCACCTCGTTCTCAGATGTCTCAAACTCCAGACTGTTCTTCTGCTAACAAAACTCTTCAGCAGTGCCCCACCCAGCCATATTTTTCTCTCCTTTTCCCTATCAGCAGCTTTCTCTGTCTTGCTTCATATACATTTAGAACCCTCCCTATTCTCTCACGGGGTAAATCACTACAGTCAGCGAGCCTGTCGTTTGCAAGAATTTATGTGTCCTTTCTGCAAGGTAGTATTTGTGTTTTGACTGGGGCCTTCAATGCTATTACCTGACTGAACGAAAGCACCAGAGTCCTTCCCACCTGATCATGGCTCTCCTATGGCTTGAGCATAGCGTTCTCACCTACCCTTGCTTCTCAGATTGTGGTCTGTGAATCAGTGGAGTGGTACCACCCAGGAATTTGTTAGAAACTCAGTCCTTACTCCAGACCTACTGCGTCAGGATCATTTTTTTCTGTCCCCCCGGATGATGCATAGACACTTGCAAGTTTGGTCAGCGCTGCTAGGATCAGGAGTAGCTAGTCTCAGCGAGGGCTTCTTTACAGAAGAAGGGTTTGCATCCAAGCTCCTTGTCAGAGGCCATTCCAGAGCCCTGGGGATGGAGCTCCCATCTCTGCCACCAGCAGAAGATGACATCTCTGGGGGCCCAGCTGCCATGCTGGATCCTCTGGAGCTTCCTGGAGAGTCAGGCTCCCGTGATTGAAATCACAGGGCTAATTGGCCCCACATGGCTCCAAATCTTGCCAGTTGTGAGGGGGAGTGACAAGACTCCCCAAGGAGCCAACCAAATGTAAAGAAAAAAGAGCCAAAGGCAAGGAGGGAGGGGGAACTTGAAGCTGATGCCTGGGACTCTAGCTGCTAGAATTTCTGTCCTTTATGCCCACTAGGCAGGGGCCAAAGCATCAGCTCCAGATCCATCCATCTCAGTTCACCTGTCCTTTCACCATGTCCTGCCTAGCAACAGTCATCAGCTTGAGCTTCAGTTCCTGGACCCTCTTTGGATGGCGACAGAGGATCCTTTTAGCCGCTAGAGCCGGGCACCCACAGGGAGCCAGGCTGTCTGAGAGTCGTCTGCCTGGAAAGCCAGGGGACGGAATACGTTGTTGGACTGCCTCTTCCAAGCCAGGAGTTGATGGGGCAGGTCATGGATTGTATGAAGCCAATGAAATTTATTTCAGCCACCCCAAATAATGCTACCAGTTATATCGCCACCTCTACATCTGTGTGCTACTTTTAACCTTCCAAAGTGCTTCTGTAGCCATGATCTCATTTCATTCTCCCAACAATGCTGAGAGGCAGGTTAATTAGGATGTAGGCCAGCCATCCAGACCCGGCCAGGAGTCTGGAGTGGGGCGATGAAGACTGAATAGCCAGCAGGTTCAGGACCCCGAGGGGATGTAGGGAGGCTGCCAGGATGGTGAGCCCTGTCTGAGAGTCTGGGCCCTTACTGTGCTTCCAGCTGCTTTGGGACTCAACTTCAATCACCTACCTTGGAGGCTGGGATGGAGGAAGTGCAGTACCTAGCTTATTTGACAGGACAGTTAGAGGAGATAATGGATGTGAAAGCCTTTCGCAGATGAAGTAATGCATCTAAGAATGCAAAGTGCTGTTAGCATAAGGCAGAAGAGAGAGATGAGGTCTTTACCTGGGTCACTGATTAGAGAGGTCAAGTCTGGCACAGGATGCAGTGTTCCCTTTGGGCTTCTTGGGTAAAAAGGGGGCAGAATGGATGAAGGCATTGTGTGCTTTGGGGCAAAAAACAGAAGCAAAGCGCAGGCCCCAGAAACAAAGCTGGGGAGGGTAAAGGGACCATAAACACTGGCTGCTTCATAATTTTGTTCAGGGTTGCCCTGTTTGAAGGGACCAGAAGCCAAACATCTTTCAAAGTCAAATTGCCTATCCCCCGCCCAAGAGGGCTGTCACGTGATCCATGGACAGCTGAGCTCCTGTCATCCATCACTGCTTGCCTTCAGTGTCACTCCCAAATCTTCTGGCACTTAGCAAATTTCAGAGGGACTGAGCTGCAGACACTGGAAGATGCAAACCCCAGAAGAGAAAAGACAAGTTGCATTGTAAAATGGTCTTCTACCTGCTAATGGAGGGGGTTCTTTCCTGACCACAGATGGCTGAGAAGACCCAGATAGTGTGAGGACAGGGGTACTTACAGAATTAGGGGAGCATCTAGTTGGGGGTAAGTAGTCCCACTCAGTTAGGGACAACTCACAACCTAGGGACTAATGTGCTCCAGTCATACCTGGAGAGGAACCCGTGGCTATGGGAGAAAGAGCTGGGTCCCCTGCAGGAAGATGGCACTGCCCATAGACCAAACTTGGCTTCTCATCCTTCCCATCCCTTTCCAGGCCATACCACCCAGTTCCCACCTCAGCCTCCTGCCCCTTTCCGGAACCTCTACCCCTCTCTCAGAACCCCTCTTTGGACCCTAATACTATCCTCGGTTACCACTTAAATCCCTTGTTCACTGTACACCTGTCTTTTGTAACCCCCCCTAGAGTGGAGGTTCTTTGTGGGCAGAGACCCATAACTTCTCTTGTGTCCCCGGAGGCTCTGACCGCTGAGTAGGCACTCAATAAATACTTGTTGATGGCTTAATATGAGTCAAAACAGTAAAGCAAAACACTTGTGTCACAAAAAGCTTTCGGCTCATTGGCTCCTCTGGCTCCAGGAATGTCTATATTCATCGGTATTGGTGGTGCCTGAAGGCCCAGTGGAGACTGAAGTGTCCCCCGGCTTCGAATAAAGAAAAAGGCGGCGAAGTGGAGGCTGAGGTGGCCAGGACACTCTGGGTTCAGGGACACAACAGAGCGCTTCTCCGTGCACCTGGATCTGCCTTGCTGGCTCCCTGCTCCCCACGCCACAGACTAGCCCTCCGGCTTACCCTGACTGGCCCCCTGTCTGTCGGAAGTGAGCTGGCATCCTGTCATCCCAGGAAGAAGGCCCTGGTAGTGCTGAGGAGGTCTGGTGATGGAGACAAAGGGCTCATTCCAAAGCAGCCCTGGGGGCAAGGCACACCCCAGGGCTGCAGAAATCTTCTCTGGCTACCTCAAGGCTGAGCTCCTGCCTGCCACCAAGAGTAGAAGCACCAGCCTGAGGCCACCTTCACTGAGCCCCTGTCCTGGCGGAGTGCCTGTCCAGGTCACCGGTCAGCCGTGTTCCAGCTTCTGAGAGACTTTCCATTAAACATTTGTCTTACCAGTGTGGGAGGGAAGGAGCCAGTTTCTGAATTCACCTTCAGGAGGCTTGACTTCATCCTCGCAGCCCTTTTGGGCTCCCTAAGCGACAACAGACCCCAAACCAGCTTGGGTGCAGCCAGAGTCGATGTGGCTGGGTCACGTGAGCAGTGGTCATCTATGATAGAGACAAGCCCAGGACTGTGGCATCTCTTTGATATATAATTACTCTAAATCTCCCCCCACATAAATAGTCCTAGAGCTCCTCTCTAATTACTGAATTTGTGTCCTAATAAACATCCTAATTGCCTGAAACCATTTGCTACCGAGGAATTTGGTATTCTCCGCTAGTCAACAACATTCTCATAGTGTCAGAACCTCCCACTTCTTTTAAAACACTTATACTAGTTTGATTAATTAGCACCTGGCCTTCTGTACTTTGTTCTGAAGGGCCCTGCCTGGAACCTTAATTTTCAGAACATACACACTGAGCCTGGAGAATAAGCCCCAGCTATGAGGCTGGAGCCAGGGGGCAGAGAGATGCCAAGCCAGAGAGCTAAGGCTCCGGGCCCCTCTCTTCCACCTGCCCTGCCTTGCCTGTGGGCCAGTCATTCATCTCTTTACCTCCTTCCCTGCCCCTGGCGCCCAGTGCCCTCACAAGCCCCAGGCTCCCCTCCTTTTCACCTCGGGGCTGTTCATTGAAATACTGTGCTCAGCCCCATCTCCGCCCCCAGGACGCCTCTCCCTGGCCCGTGCTGTGGGCCTTTATAAAGTCCTTGTGTAATTGCTAAGCTTCAGTACCTCAAGTTGTGGGCACCAGGAGAACCATCTGGTCTGCCTCCCAGGTGTTGGGACAGCGATTTCTCTTCTCCCGGCTCATCTGGGATTCAGGTCTGTGGGTAGCCACAGAACACAGCTCCCCTTCTTGCCCACAGGAGCCATTTCCCAGGTGTCCCGTTAACTGAAAGAAGTTGGCATTGTCTACAATTGTGTAAGGTAATGGTCCTCAACATTAGCACATTTGTTTATATATGCCATCTCCATTGTTTATTTTTATATATAACCCAAGGGATATTAAAGTTTAAAATTGCACAAGGACTTCATGAAGATGCTCTAAATTCTGAAATGACTTCACATTCCTTCCCCACTAATGTGCTTGTTTTGTGCTCTGTTCCCTTAGGGTTTGGGTTTCCCTTAGGGAGTTAATAGCCAATTCGAGGGGGTCATACCAATTAACCATTGGAATAACACGTTTGCTTTCAGGTGCCTGCTAGCGCCCCCAATTTCTTGGAGGAAAAGACTGAGTCTGAATGACAGCCTCAGTGGCGCCAGTCTCCTCTGTTGGCTCTGGCCCTGTAGCCAAGTGGCTTTTCCTTCCTAGACTCCCCTTTCTCCAATCTGAAATGTGAGATGGTCGTCACCTCTGCAGGTTCCAAAGGATGTAGGAAGCTAAGCTCGTGAACTCCTGGGTGCCAGGGCCGACACCCTGATGGGTGTCCCTCACCACTGGTTCTGAGGCTTAGGTGCCTTTGCGTCTTGTTTTGCTCCCATCTTCCCCCTCCCCCAGTCATGTGATGCAGGAAGAGAGCGCAAATGCTATGGAATGTGAGCAGCTGCCAGCAGAGACGCTGCGACAAGTGACCATTCACCGAGACCCTATATATGGCTTTGGCTTCGTGGCCGGCAGTGAGAGGCCTGTGGTGGTGCGATCTGTGAGGCCAGGTAGGTGCCCCTCAGAGTGTCCCCCTGGCCCTGGCTCTTATCCCCCAACACCCACACATCTTCCCAGAGAGCAGAGCTCCCGAGTACACAGTGTTGCCCAGGAATTCATGAAGAGTGGGTGAAGACTTGCCAGCCAATAACTGTGAGGGAGCTGGTCTTTTAAGACTGAGCACCACAAACCATGGAGGTGGCTTGGGGCCAAGCCAGAGGCCGCCGTTCATGGCTTGGTAGGGTCTGGGTCTTAATAAGGCTTCCCTTTGAGTAGAACCTTCATGGAAGAGCCGTGCTGCCTTGAATGAGAAATACCTATTCAGTTCAATTCAACAAGTATTTATAGATTGCCTACTCTAAGCCTATCCAGGTTGGCGGGGAGTTCAAGACACAGTTCCTAGCCCCAAGAATCTAACCAGCAGACAGTGGAGAGTGGAACATGCTCATGAAATAGCTCAGCCATTGAAGACTGGAATCAAGATCCAGTGAGGGGTATGGGGGGGGGTGGGTAAGGAGAATGAAGTCTCTGAATACACAGTGGCAGGAACAACAGCTGCCCTTGACAAGTACCTACATCATCTTGTTTAACCCCCACAGCCAAACCTGTAAGGTAAGTGATCTCCCATTTTATGAATGAGGAAACTGAGGCATAGAGGAAATGACTCGTGCAGGGTCACTGAGGTAGAATGCAGCAGAAGCAGAGCCAGGATTTGCGTCTGACGTTGGCTAGCGTGGGAAGCGCGGTTTGAATGGGACCACGTGGGAGGGCACCAGCCAAAGGCCCACCTGAACCGTGGCAGCATCATGAATGAAGGGGGAAAGGACTGAAGCATTGTTTTGTTCCAGATCTGTTAGGCAGTGACAGAAAAGACAGACGGAAAGGAGCTTTATTCCTGATTTGCTGGGCCTGAGGCTTTAGATGTTTACAACAGTTTCTCGCTCAGTCAAGAGGAGCAGCCGGAGTACAAACTGGTCTTGCAGAAATTTGATGAATTTTGCAATCCTCAAAGGAAAAGAAAAAAGAGCTTTTGTGAGCTCACTCTTCAACTAGAGGGCATAGAGAAAACAACATTTCAGTACAGGAGTTTGTGGCCGACCTAAGGCTCCAGAGCCAGTCATGCAGTTTGGCAAAAGGTTTTTGAGTCTCTGATCAGAAAGCAAATTTGTCTCGGGAAAGAGGCACCAGATAAAATTTTGTCACAGGCCACCATGAGCCCCTGCTTCAGCTCCACAGGAGACAGCATTCACAGGGCCCTAGGAAGCCCCCAGGCCTACACTAGGGGTTCAGCTGCAAGCGCTATAAGAATGAAGAGGGAGGGCTGGAGGAGAGGAGAGAAGGAACCCTGCAGGTGAGAGCCACATAAAGCCCCGGGGCTGGCAGGCACAGCCCTGTAAAGACAGGCTGATCTGCAGAACTGCCTTCAGCCCAGGTGGCTCCGGAATGCAAAGGGCTTGTTTGGTTCTGCTTTGATATCCTAGGAAAAGACACGATGTATCCTAGAGAGGAACATTATGCTTGAGCAAGCCAGCAAACCATTCCGTGAAAGCAGCAGTAGTAGTAGATCAATGTGACCACTGCCATGACAGAGCCAAGGCTCGTGACGGAGGCTGAGTTCCATGAGGAGCTCTTCCATTAAAAGGGAAGGGATAGTGGGAAGAGAAAAAATAGTGACCTCCGCCTAGAAATCAGCATCGGGGCAGGACTAGATTGAAGGAATGTAGTGAGTTGAAGGAATTGTCTACCATTTATCTGATTCCTGCCAACATCAATAAGCTGTCTGAAGTGTTGTCCATTCATCTCACTTCTCTCAACATCCTTATGTCATATGGGCACTGTTATTTTCCCATTTTACAGATGAGGAAAGACACACTCACTGAGATGAAATGTGTCTTCCGAGGTCATGCTAGAGAATTGCAGCTGTGGGATTAGAGGCTAGGTCTAGCTGGCTGCAGACAACCTCTTCACCACCAGGCTCTCCTCGCCTGAAGTCACTGTCCTGTCCACAGACTAGTGGGTTGAGAGCCACTGCACTTCAAGTGGTGAATCCTGCTGACTCAGCTGGCACAGCCTTGGCACACACTCCAGAGCCATCAAGCTGTATTCAAGTAGCATTGTTGCTTTCTGTCCACGTTCTTGGAATTGGGGCAGAGAGAGGGGGCAATTGGCATATGACCCATTAAAGTGGGCACAGCAAGGGTCAAGGACGGTGTGAGAGTGGAACATGTCATGAAATATTTCTTTTGGGTCTCAATTAGACTGGCTCTGACCTCTTCTTCTCCCTGAATCTCTGGAAAGCTTTTCTCCAAATAAATCGTTACCAAACACAGGAGGTAGTGTATACACTCCATGGCACTCCTCTACCCCACCCTTTGCCCCAACCAAGAAGGTAGGGCCCTCAGACAGGTCTGCTCTCTTAACCTGGACAGTAGACGTGGGAAGGAGAGAGGCAGATTGCTGACAGCCCGCGATTGAGGGTCTGTGCCTTCTTCCCTTCGTGTATTGGAGGGCAGCATCTCTCAGTGTGGGGAATAAAGTAAACACTTGGGGTCTTTTAGTCAATCCCCCTGAGATGCCTAGATCATTCCAGACCAGTGAATTATGTTTCAGTAAGAAGATTCCTCCCCCTCCCTTCATTCCCTGCAGCACCTCCAGCACTCTGGAAGTCATTCTTTGTGCCTAAGCAGATCCCTCCTAGTGAAATGGAAGTCTGTTCCTCTTCAGAACCAAGCCAGCCGGGTGCGCTTTAAGCTCATCTGAGGACCAGACCTGGCCTTGGGGTCTTTTGCTACCACACCACTCCCAGACAGAGGAGGTCCACTCCATTCTCCTTCAGTTCTCTGCCCCACAGCTGCCATTGGCAGCCGTGGCCAAGAGCTCCACCAGCGCTCCTGCTCCTCCAACACCCCACTCCGCCTGCACCTGCACCTTGTCCTGCAACCCTCAATGCACTTCAGCTCCCACTGGCACTGGTAACTCCAGCCCAGGCCTGTGCTTTCCCAGCAGTGGCTCTAAGCCCTCACTCCTCTCTCCTCTCCTCTGCAGGAGGCCCCTCTGAGGACAAGCTCCTGGCTGGTGACCAGATTGTGGCTATTAATGAGGAAGACGTGAGTGAAGCCCCCAGGGAGAGGTTCATAGAACTCATCAGGTAACAGGGGCCTCTTGGGCCTTGGCAGGGAGCTGAGCAGTACCCCTTCCACTGTCCCACGGGGCTACCACTGTCCTCCCTGACCCTAAGAGAGGCGCCCTTGCAGGCAGAGCAGCCTAGTCAGGGCTCCTGGCTACCCAGGACTTCAGGGGCCAGCCCTCCAGGATCCCCGGGGGCCTTCTCCACATTCTGGGTTAGACTTCTGCAGCCAAGTAAGCCCACAGGAGGCTGCTGTGAAAGCCTCACCTCACCTCCCTCTACCCAACTACCCCCCTCACCCAGACCCTTTGGATTTTGACTTACTGTGCAGTAGGACAGACCAAGTAACCGATGAGAACCAAGCAAGCCATTAAAGGAACACTGAGAGAAGCACAGTGTGAGAAAGACAGAGTTTCCCGCCTTTCCACAGCCACACCCCAAAATCCCAAGGAGAAGCACATCCAAATTCCTGGCCAGAGGGCTAAGGACAGGAACCTGCCATCGTAGATTTTGCTTATGGTGTGTGTGACATAGCCGCCTAGATGGGGGCAGGTGAGAGAAGGACAGGAGTGTACAGGCACCACCACCACCTGTACATGGGGGTAATCACACTGACATCATTTCCCCTCCCTTACCACTGTACCCCACACATGCACACCATCCACAACATGCACCCCCCCACACACACACTCCCATCTATACCACACGCACGCCATGCGTACCACACACACAACACATGCACACATACATACACACCACCCACAACATGCACACTATACACACACATTGTGCATACCACACACGAACACCACCACCTATACCATAGACACACCATGCATACCACACACACCATACCTATCACACATACCACACATGCAAGTATAACATCTACAACATGCATACCACACACACCATCTCTACCTTACTCATACCATGCATACTACACACCATGCATATCACACCACACATACCACAAATGCACACACAATATCTACAACATGCACACCACATACCACATGCACCATGCATATCATACCACACACCACAGGTGCACACACATCCACAACATGCACACCACATACACACCATACACACACATGCGTACACACCGTCTATACCATACAGATGTTACATACCTTCACACACCATACCTATCACACACACACACCATACACATGCACACACCCCATGGATATCACACCACAAATGCACACACACCACTCACAACACATAAGCCATGCATACCACACACATGCACACACATGCCATCTATACCACACACACCATGCACACCACACCCACACTATATACAAACCCCACCATGCATATCATGATACCACACATACTATGTATACCACATATCACATAGACACACAGTATGCAAAGTACACACACAGCTACCTCATACACACACACACCACCTGTACACTCCCTTGCATAGATGTGTTGATAAAGAATGAGAGAATGAGAAGATAGAAATAAAGGCTCTAGATTCCATGGTCTAGTTTGGGGGACCTTGACTATCTCCAACAAATGAAACCATGGGCGCTATCTCTCCTGCTCCCTCTGCTTCTTGTAGTCTGTTTCATCTCCTTCAGCCCCTCTTGATTTGAAGTGATTCCATCTCACTAGTCTGTCTTGTTCTCCACCTGCCCCCAGAGTGCCTCCCTCTCCTTCACAGGCAGACTTAGCACCCTGTTTACGCAACAGTACCTCCCACTAGCCCTGGCGGGGTTGAGTGTTCCTTTCTGAGGTCCAGAGCATGTCTTTCTTCCATGCTTCCCACCAAGTTCTGTATCTTGGAATGTGTCTGATCCCTAATAACCTTTAGTTTGTCTCCTCCAAGTTCAATTGTCCATTGCATTCTCCCACCCTTCACCACCACAGTAATATGGGTGCATTCTTTCAGCCCCGCAGTGTGTGTTGGGGTACTTTTAGCCTAACTTCTCAGAAGTCTTTGCTTCTAGTAGATTATCTTTGAACCCTAGAACAAGGTAGCCCAATTTTGTGAGGGAGTTCAGAGCTCTTCAGGGTCAAGACAGAATTCACTTTTTTGATAAGCTCAGGGGTGAATGAGTTATTCATTTATTCATTCAATCAATATTTATTATCAGGTATCTAATACACACCAGGCACTGTTCTAAGCACTGAATATATAGCAGTGAATAAGACAGAAAATGCCTGCCCATTGCTATTTACATTATAAGCAATAACTATGATACATAAGTGATGGCACCGTATACTAGCAGGTGATGAATGTTATTGAATAGAAAATGGATGAAAGTAAAGAGGATCAGATGCTGGGTGTAGGGTATAGAGTGCAACTTCAAATAGCATGCCAGTGTCAGCCACATTGAGAAGGTAACATTTGAAGAAAAACTTAAAGGAAGTGAGGGTTTTGGAGACAGAGAAGAGCCAGTGAAAAGACCCTAGGGCAGGAATGTGTCTGACATGTTTGGGAAGAGGAGATGCCAGTGTGTGGAGTGAAATAGATAAGGTAGGGGGAGAGTTGTAGCCGTTCTAAGGACTTTGGCTTTGTTTTGCCAAAGTGGGGAGACCTGGCAGGGGCTGGAGCAGATGAGTCACATGATCTGGCTTATACTCTGCCCCAGCCCTATTCAAGAGTCAGGTTTTCCCCTAGTGTTTTCCTTGGAACACAACTCTTTCCTCTCCTTGGGTGCTTCCCAGCTCCTGGGACTGATTCATCCCTGGATTTCACTTCACTGAGTATGGAAAATGATCACATAGGAGCAGGGGGTCTTGGCCTTTCTTGAATACCCAGTATCAAGGACATTTTGTCTCTTGCGTATCCTTATTCCAGAAACATCTGAAAGATATCAGCAAGGAGAGGGCAAGCTCCTTCAAGGCAAACTCCTTCCATTTTTTTTTGAGTTCTTTCAAAGGATTGTGTGTTCCTGGGAGAGATTTTCATACCTCACAACCTGTTTGATCATTAGCATAATTCTTGTCAATTTTGAAACTCTTCTGAATACTTGCTATCTGGAGAGGCTTGACTTCCATCTGTTGCTCCCCGGTTCTCATTTTTTGGTCCTTCAATTAAAAAAAAATCTGCTGAGTATGAGTCATGGTGACCAAATGACCTCCTTTGGGTTTTTCCTCTGAATTTATCCTCTTGCTTAAATACCAAATTGCCAATAATCGTGGTACATGCTTCCCAGGACTTTGACTGTGTGCCCTTTGAGTTCCATAATTTAGGCCTTTAGTTTTCCTTGAGAATTTTCTAGTCTACAAATAAAATTGCTCCAATGATTTGGTGATTTCTACAGAGAGAATGTGAGAAGGAATATAAAAAGAAGTTCTGAAAAATGACAACCCCAGCGGTAATGGTAATACTGTCTAGCAGCTGCCTGTGTGAACCTTTATGAATGGTTTATATCAGTCACCACATGGAGGCGAGACCATGATGCAAATATTCAGATTGCCCTCTGTCCTAATCCATATACCTGAATGCAGCCCAGGGAAAATTCTGGTGTTGCTTCTTGTGCTAGATGAATACCTAGTGCATGATACACTACTGTCTTATTCCCTCTTCTCTCTGTAGGAGTGCTAAGGAATTCATCGTTCTTACAGTTCTGCACACTCATCAGGTGAGTGAGCCTTTTTGTCACCCGCCCTTCTTCCTAACTGAGATGAGAGGACATCATATTGGAAAGGGACATTGACTGGACAAGAGGTGGGGGGAGAGACTATGACCAAGAAATTGTGAGCCAAGGAGTGAATTCAAAGAATAATTTCTGAACATCTTGTGTACTCTCATATCCAAGGCTTGAGAGTTTTGAAGGGCCATACAGTACTATGTTCTGCCCTGTGCCCTCTGCTTTACCCTACTTGCACCGCCCATGATCCCTGTTCCAGAGATAATTTCTACCTCTTTTTTGCTGTGCTCCATCAAAAATTACTTTACAGTGTCCAACTCCCATACAGTTTTTGTGAAAGGTAGGGTGCTAATCTTGTTCATTCATTCGCACAGCTATTTACTAAATGGATGAAAATGTAAGCAATCCAATACCATAGGTAAGGACTTTAATATAAAGTTGTTAAAGAGGTACAGTTGGACGAACAGGTTCATCTTTGTTCTGGTACAGTCACTAACGGGCTATATGACCTTTGGTGAGTCATTTTCCTTTTCTGAACCTATATTCCACATTAGTAAATTGAAGGGTTTAGACTAGAATAATGTTCCCCAAACTTGCCTAATAATAATCAAGACTGCTTATTTAAAATGAAGATCTTGAGGGGAATGAGGCAAGGGGAAAAAAAAAGTGAAGATCTCCAGGCCTCTCTCCTCAAGAATTGGAATCAGAAGACCCAGTGTCCATTACTCAGTTATAACCTTCTAGAAATTTTAATTCAAATGTGCAAACTCAGGTGCAAAACTTCATGGGCAAAACTTGGAACCCTCCTTCCACCTCCAGCCTATCTGTACCTTCCCAATGTCCCCATTACACCACAGAACTGATGTCCAAACCCCATTCCATAGCCACAGGAGAGGTCACAACAGTTGGGGTTGGATACATGAAGTCAGGGGAGTCATCCTGGAGGAAGCTGCACCTGAGTTCGACCTTGAAGGAGGGATGGGCTGGGCTTTCCTAGACAGAGAAGGTGAGAAAGATTTTCCAGAGAGACGACATTTCTTTACAAAGCCAGGGATATTGCACAGGTGCATAGCACAGGTTCACCAGTCAGAGGGGTGGGATTCAAATCAAGCTCTGGCATTAACTGCCTCTCCTCAAGGGCCCAGACTTCTTCTATGTCATTGTGAACCACACACACCCACAAATGCACATATATACCACAAGCACATGGGCACTTGTGCATGCTCACTCCCAAAGTGCTAGGCCTTTCTCAAAAGAAATTCTGCTCAATCACAATTCCCCTGCCTCTGAGCATGCAAGCCTCACCCCTCGGTGGACGTAACAGCCCCTCTGTCCCTGTGTGCTGTTGCCTAACGGGCACTTGAGCATCAGTCTTCACTCCTCAATCTTTTGTCGTGAATGTGGCCACCCGTTCTCCCCTAAAAACATGCTTGTGTGGTTATAATTTACAGCCTCTGCTCGGAGACCCATTGTGGGTAACTTTGTTAGTTAGGTCGCCTCAAATCTCTGTTCCTTGTAGAATCCTTCCATGACTGCCTTTCTAAGATAGCATCAACCTGTCATTGTCTCCTAATGCTGCTTAATTTTTCCACCAGAATAAATTTTTAAACATAATTTAGTTATTTGAAAATAATTATAGATTCATAGGAAGTCACAAAGCTAGTGTGGAGACATCTTTGTATACCCTTTGCTCTATTTCTCCCGAGTTCCATCTTGCATAACTACAGTATCATCTCCAAAGCAGGACCTTGATGTGTGTGTATAGTTCAAAGTCAATCGGTCACCTGTGTGAGTTCATGTAGCCACCAACACAGTCAAGATACTGGATATTTCTATCACTGAAAAAACCCAAACGTAACCCTTTTATAACCACACACGCCTCCCTCCTAACCCCAAGTCCTGTAAAGCACGAATGCATTCTCCTTACCTGCATTTTCGTAATTTCCAGAATATTTTAATAAGAGAATATAGAATGTAATCTTTGGGGATTTTTTTTCCCCACTCGGCATACTGCCATTGAGATACCCAGGTTGTTAGATGTATCAATAGTTTATTCCCTTTTATTACTGAGCAGTATTCCATGGTATTTATGGTTTGGATGTACCACAGTTTTAGTCATCCACCCATTTAAAAACATCTGGTTTGAGGCTAGATTTTGGCTAATACAAATACAGCTTCCATAAACATCCATGTGCAGGACAAGTGCCCAAGAGTGCAATTGCTCAGTCATATATTAAGTGCATGTTTAGTTTATTAAGAAACTGCCAGGCTATTTTTCCAAAGTGGCTGTACCATTTTACCAATTCCAGTGAAATACCATGTTTAGATATATTTATTATCTAGCCCATTAGAATGTCAGTCCCACAAGGGTAGGGACTGTGTTTTGTTCACTGTTGTATGTCCAGCACCTAGTACAGAGTAGACACTCCATGAATATTTGTTGAAGGAATAAGGGAAACACAACTTCCATCCATCAGAGCAATCTAAACTCAAGTGTCCAAACTTAGACGCAGAATGAATAATGCTCCTGAACTCTTTCCCAACTTCCCCATCCCAGGGCCCCCATCTCTCCCTCTCCCTCATCTCCTAGTTCTGTTGCCTTCTCCTGGCCCATCCTAAGACCCTTTTACTATAGCCAGGCTGCTCTCTTTCCATTTTTGTACAATTATTAGTTCTTACCGCCTTGTGGACTTCTGTCCTTATACAAACTCACATCTCATCTAATACATGTCTGTTTCCTTTAAGATCTGGCTTGAGATGCCTGTCTTCCAAATACCTTTGACTAACCTCAGTGGGACATTTTCATCCATCCATTCATTCATTCATTCATCAAACACTTATTGAATGGCTACTATTTTAGGTGCTTTTCTAGGCTGGGAATAGAGCAGTGCACAGGCCGGATAGGGTCCCTACCCTCACTGAACTTAAATTCTAGTTATTGGTCTTGTGCTGTCTAAACCCTTAGAGCAAAGAAATGAGCATGTACACACAGGGGTGACAGTCAAAACAATTAACAACCTGTATAGTTGGGGTTAGCCAGTCAAAACATAAAACAGCCATAGACACTGGAGCAGAGTCTTGGAGCCCCCTAATTGCACCAGGTGTTAACCCTTTAGTTGATCATTTGCAAAGAGGTACTTGGGGAGAGGTCAGGCAGCACCCAGGAAGTTCAGGGGGGTGACTGCTTAGCAGTCAGTGTGAAAGACTCCCTCAACATTTTATAATAGGTATGACCAGAGCAGCATATTCCAACTTTACGTCAGCCTTGCGCACGCACACAGTCGATCTTGATTACCTATAGATTCCACACTTGCAAATTCACCTACTCCCTAAAATGTATTTGTAACACAAAAATCAAAACTCATAGTGCTTTTCTGATCATTTGCGGCCATGCACAGACCTTGAAAATTTTGAATTGCCCAATGTACCTATTCCCAACTGAGTCCCAAAAATGTGACGAAGGTCTGCTTCTTGTTGCAGCTGTCATACAGAGGTGTCCCAAGGATGGAAACAGTAGGGGGCAGTGCAGTGTAGTGTAAGAAGCTTCATCTCTGGGGCCAATTGGAAGGGGTTGGAATCTCAACTCTAACACCAGTTACTGGAATGGCCTAAGGCAAATCACTAAAAACTTCAAAACCTTATTTTCTCCTGGTGTAATAAAGAAACTAGAACCCACCAGATGAGTTTAGAATTTAAGATAATAATCTATGTGAGACACACACGTACTCCCCTCGGAACAACTCTTCAGTATTCATTAGTTCAGTGTTCCAGATGACTTTGCAGAACATAACTACCATTACAAGAGTCTACTGAGATCTTCTCTCTGAACTGTAGTGAAGGTTTCTTGAAGACCTCCAGCGTGTATTCGGTGATATAGCCCCTGCATCACACACCCATTACTGTGTCTTCAGCAGGCTCTTGGCATTTCATGGCCTTGCAGAGACTGGTGCCTTTTAACCAAACTCTTGTCACATTATAAAGCTTGATTACCTCTTCTTCCAAACATCAATTTCCTGATCATTCCAGGATGCAGCCCAGGAATCTGTATTTTTCATAGCAACCACGGGTGATTGTGATGTTCTGAAGAATTTGGGACACATTGGAATAGTAATCTGTAAGGATCCTTCCAGCCCCTATATTCTCTGTCTGCTAATGGTCTAACACAGTGTTTCTAGATCCTGCCAATACAGTAAAACCATCTGTGAAGCTCTTAAGATTATTGCCTGGGTTCCATCCCTGACCAGTTAAATTAGAAACTCTGGGGAGGGAGCACAGGGATTGGTCTTTTGAAAGGGTTGCCCAAATAATTTTTATGTACCAATCAAGAACTACTGACCTAATATGTAGTCTCTTTCAGATAATATTTTTCATTTAAAGGACTGACTTTGACCATTGCGGGATATTTTAGGAAGTCATGGGGTCTTTTCCCAGGGCCTCTCAAACTATATTGCATTGATAACCACATATGAAGCCTACATTTAAGCAAGAGTGTTCCTTAATCTTTGACCAACATTCCTCATGATTCAATGCATATTAATCTTGGTACCCTTAGACCTTGATACACAGTATGTCCTCAATAAGTATTTTTAAATAAGTAAAGTACTGGGTTGTGACCAAGAATGGCCCCAATACAGCAAGCAGTCCCTTCCAGTGAAATTCTACTTTTCTGATTCTGAAAACTTAGCCTATACCTAAAAAGTCTGAATCCCCTCTACCTGGAGCCACCTGCCCCAAAACAAGAAGCTGACACAATGGGAACTAATGCAGAAAACTGACTTTCCACAGAGCTTCTCGGATGTATAGTACTTGGCAGATGGTATCTGCTCAAACCATCTTTACTGAATTGATGAATTAATTTTATTACCCTAGGCATTCAATTACTATTTCTTATTCTGTGCCTACTCTGTGCTTGGTGCTAGGGGCCGACATAGTGATATAAAATGCCATCTCTTCCTTTACAACCTGGTTGAAGAGATGAGTGATGGCAGTGTGGATTAACAAGGAGTACTATAGGAAATCCAGAAAGGGGAATGGAGGAGTTGGGGAAGGTAGAATTTCAAGGTAAAATTTGTTCTAGGGTTTAGAAGCAGCCTTTCGAGGAGCCGAGAGACAATTGGGGGGGCCTCCCTGGTGGCACAAGAGGTTAAAATGCAACTTATGAAGCAATCCGCAGCCTCTACAGCACGGAGTTCGATCCACGGCCGGCCAGGGAGCAACCCACATGGCGCAGCAGACCTCTCCTGACTCGCCCGCTGCTCCCCTCAGCAGTGTATTTCAGTCAGTCTGCCTGTCCTGTTCCCCACTCTGTCTCTGGTGAATCCTCTCATCCCCCACACCTCTGGCCTGTACCCCAGCTCTTGTATGCATAATCTTTTTTTTTTTTTTTTAAAAAAGATAGACATGGTAACCCTGAAGTGCATGGATGGGAAGAGACAACATAAGAAGGTGGGCACAGAAGTGATAAGAAACTCTGTGTCTAGGGAGCCACCCTCATAGGTGAGAAATGAGGGGCATGAGTGACATGGGTGGGCTTGGAAGCTGGAAAGAGATCGTAGTCACCTTTAGGCATGCCAAGTGCAAGAAGGATGGCTCCTGGGGTCCTGTATCAGCCTTCTGGTGGAATCAAGATGGCCCTACCATTGTCTCAGGCTCGCACAGTGGTTGCTATGGAAATTGATTGTAAGTAGGCTCAGGTGTCAAAGACAACAAGCCAGCAGAAAGAATCAGGAGGCTGGCATCAGAGTTTCAGAGACCTGAGCTCCATCCCCTTAAAATCCCCTTTGTGGTTATCAAAATGGGGTCCTATCATGCACCAAAATGTTTGGCCATATACCCAACTTTGGCCAAGACATGACTGAACACAGCCCCAAAAATCTGTACTAATAGATCCACCAAATTTAAAAATGGTCAGAAAAGCCACCAGCTGCTGAATTCAGTCCTGAGGGAGAGGCAGGCTCTCTCATCTATTGCTTATTCCACCGAACTGCTGGCTTCATATTTACTTCAAGGGGCTTGCAGTGGCCCCGGAGGTACTTAGCAATTCTAGTCCCGTGTTTCAAGCCAAAATTCATTTTAGCCAGAAAGGGTGCCTGTTGCAAAATGAGACTCCCAGATGCTTAGAGGGAAAATGGGGTCAGTGAAGAGCTCAGATATCCCAGCTTTAAGGTGATCAATTAATCTATGCCTTATGGTTTAGGATATTTTCAACAATATAAATCCCTAGGTCCTACCCCTAGCCTCACAGACATTTTGACTTCTGAAGTCTGGTGGGGGTCTAGAAAACTGGGTTTTGACAAGCACTCCCCTCTGTTTCTTATCAGGCCAGTTTTAGAAACAGTGAGTGAGTGTGTGCTAATGAGTTAGTGCAAAGGTTGGCAAGGCTTTTCTGTAAAAGGCTGTATAGTAAATATTGTAGTCTTTGTAGACCACACATGGTAGCAGAGAAAATGGCCATAAACAATACGTAAATAAAGATCATGACTGTATCTGATAAAGTTTTATTCCCAAAAATAGGGGCCATAGTCGACTGGCTCCTTAAGCATGTTCCTTGCTTTTCCCCGGTACCACATTTGCATTTTGACCACGTCCTTCCCAATTTTCCATATTTTAATTCAAATAAGTCACCTTAATAGGCCCCATAGCTGAGTTTTGAGGACGTTTTGGGATTGGGAGACCTCTGACAGCCCCTTGTGTTGCACTGAAAAGCAGGCATCACCTGTGTCTAAGCACAAGGCTAGATGTGACTCCGTGACATTTGGCAGAGACCAGCTGGCAATGAGTGAGTCACCATCAACGATTAAGGCTGGAGACTGAGAATAGGATGGAGTCTTAGAGACCAGCAGGACAAGGGTCAATGAGGAATGAGGCACAAACAAGCTGAAAATAACTCTAAATCAGACACCGGAAATGATTTTTACCCCTGAAAAGATTGGCAATTCCGTTTCCTCCTTCATGACTCTGTTCCTATAAATATCGGAATCTTTTGTTTATAGTGGAATCTCTAGGACAGGCTCTAATCTTGCACTCTTGATAGAGAGAACAAGGAGTCCATCCCCTACGCGTATGTGAATACATAAAAGATAGCAGTTGGGGTCCTTCCTATGTTCAGATCCATTAATAGGACCAATGTAGAACCAGATCCAGAATCAGTGGATGAAAGACAAGAATGGACTTCCACCTTTAGACTCAGGAAATCTGGATTCTGGTTTCAGTTCCACTACCATACGTGATACTTTGAGTAGATCATATCCTCTTCCCAGGCTTCTGTTCCACATATAAAAATGAAGAGTGAGTGGACTCTGTGGCCCATTCAGGTCTCTAGAGATGCTTTGTTCCACATAGTGCAGAGGGGCCTCCAGTTGCAGGTGATACAGAAAAAGGAGTGGGTGACTGTCGGAGAGAATGAAGATTTCACCTGCCTCCTGTTTCTGGCACCTCAGGTAGAAATTTGGACTATTGTGGACATGGAGTCAAGCTGCCTGAACATGCTATAGATCTTTCTAGCTTTCCCCGTTCCTTTGCTCCTGCCACAGCCTGAAGCCCTACCCAGGATTTGAGCACCAGGCTGGGACACACACAGAGACATTTCTTGACTCCCATGAATAAACAATTATGTAATCACTTTTTTGCAACAATCTCTAGCCCTGGATTTCATTGTGCTTTATTGTCTGCTGCCCACAAACTGTCCCCAACTCTCAGGATGAGACCACTAAGGTGCCTTCAACTCAGTGCTTTTCTAATAGGACTGCACTTTGAAGCCATACTGATTTCAAAAAGATGAGTATTTTTTTAATTTATTTATGCATACAAGAACTGGGGTGCAGGCCAGAGGTGTAGGGGGTGAGAGAATTCACCAGAGACAGAGTGGGGAGCAGAACAGGCAGATCTACTGAGATACACTACTGAGGGGAGCAGCGGGCAAGACAGGAGAGGTCTGCTATGCCATGTGGATAGCTCCCTGGCCTGGGATCGAACTCCTGAGGCAGTGCCTGGTAATACCTTCATAGTGCTGAGGCTTAACCCCTTGCAGCACCAGAGAGGCCCCTGGTCTGACTTCTTGCTGAATCCCTGATCACCTGAAACTGGTGCCTGATGCATAGTAGTTTCTCCCTCCATTATCATTTGAATAAATAAATGCCCTCAAAGACCTGCAGGGGGTAGGAGGAGGGCCTTCCCAGAATTCCTGCATTTCCTGGCTAGGGGCTAAACTCCAGCATATGCTAACCATGTGTCCTACTGACTTTGTGGGAGTGTTTTTAAGAACTAGAGAGCCTAGTTCATCCTTGGGGCATTTCTTATACAATTGGGTGAATGAAGTGGTGGAGAGCCCAGAACCAGAAAGCCAGGAGACCTGGGTAAAAATCCCCAATGTCTCTGTTTCTCAACAGTGTAGAAATTGTGGATAAATCTTGAAGCACTAAGCCTCTCTTCTCCCACATCTAAAATATTATTTTTATGATCCTCCTTCCTAGGGGCAGGATATATCTGAAATGAATAAGATCATTTCTGTAAGTCCTTTGAGATGCTTGTATTCAGATGTAATAAAAACTACCATTTAGATATATCTCACATTAAGAAAACCAAATATATAAAATTTCAGTGTATGTTGTTGCTAAAGAATTTTTGCAAACTCCCCTAGGCCTAGAGCATTAATAATGGGATCAATTTACCCAAATTCATTTCATAACCAACTTTTTCAGAACATAACAATCATGCAAGGAAGCACTTAGCACAGCCTTGCACCTAGGAGGGAATCAATATTTATTGGCTTATTGATCAGTAAGGCAGAGGCTACCTGTACTGAGATATCTTAACTCTGACATGGCAAAGGTCAGGTTTTTGCCAGGGATGGAGAACTGACCAGCCCTCTGTTCTTTTCCAGTCCCCCAAATCTGCCTTCATCAGTGCTGCTAAGAAGGCCAAGCTGAGATCCAATCCAGTGAAGGTCCGATTTTCTGAGCAGGTGGCAGTTGGAGAAACAGATGCAGTAAGTACAGCTTCAGCTCTTATTCCTCTGCCCTTGGTGAGTCCAGCCTGGCCGTGGAGGTCTCCCTTTGGTGTGGTTGTGTTATAGGGCAGGAAGAGGGGCACCCCAGACCCCACAAAACTGCCTACTCTAAATGGGTTCTGCCATTTGCCGCATTAACACAAAACATGAGACTTTAATGGGAAGGAACCTTAATACAATTAGTAAACAATACAGGAAAGGCAAAGAATCTAGTTTTTAAATCAAGCACCCAAAGTTACCCGTCCCCTCGTGGGTAAAACTCCATCCAAATGGGATCGGCCCAGAGCAAGGCCCCAAAGCCTGCCCCAAGTCCAAAGCATCTTCCAGTGGGGACCCACAGGAAAGGGTCAGAAACAACCAGACAGGCCCGGAAGGAGAAGAGCAAAATCAAAATCAAGATAAAAGCTGCCATGGTCACCTCCCCACGGGTCTCACCCACATCTGTGTCCCCCAGTCCATGACTAAAAGGCAAGCGCAGTTTTTTTACGTGTCTCTAGACTCCAAGAGCCTCCTCCAGGTCTCCTTCTGGCTCCATCCTGCTTCCTTCCTCAGTCTCCTCTGCAGCTTCTTCTCTCCCTGCTCAGCTCCACCCTCCTTTTGGGTGGGGCAGGAAACCTGGAACCTTCCTCTTTTTGGGGGACCACCCTGTTACAATTGTTCATCTGCTGCTCCTCAGAGTGAACAACATTATGAAGGACTTAGAGGGGGAGGACCCCAGGGTCCAGGGAGGGTAGTGAGTGAGGGGAGGCATCCACAGGGGCCCTGGGCATAGTCTGGGGGAAGGGATATGTATCAGTTCACCCAACACGGTGGCCTAAGCTCAGCACACGTGCTCTGTAAACATCTTTTGGCTACTTGATAGAAGCAGGAAGGAAGTAGTGGTTTTCTGAAGATCTGGAGGAAGAGTGGCTGGTATAATTGAGCTCTCTGGAACAATTGAGCTGTTCACATTGAAGTGATCCTACAACTCCACATTTTACTAGAGGAGATCATGCAGCAGTGTGTGAAGCAGCCTAGGGGAAATGATACAGGTACTCATGAAGTCATGGAACTTTTATTAGGCACCTGCTGTGCTCCTAACCCCACAGCAAATGCAGAATAAATACCTACTTTCTGCCACTGCATTCCTCTCTGTGATGTTGGGGGCGACAAGTGGTTCAGATGGAGACAACAGGGACTCCACTGCCCGGTGGCATAGCTTCGAGGGGCAGGTGATGTTTGTCAGTCCATGCCATGAAACTGCCAACATAGGGGGTCATGGCCAGCTGCAGTGTTTCTCACTGCTTTGTGGGATTTACATGAGCCGAGCTGTCTCCTCCAGATGAGCAAATAAGAAGAGGTGGGCAGAGAGCAGAAAGATAAGTGTTCAGCACTCATAGATTGTGGCCAGAGTGCCCTTGGAATCCAAGGAAGTTGGTGATGTCCCAGTAGGGTGAGGGATGTGGGAGGGTAGGCAGATCTGACAGGCACTGGTGTGCTTTTGCAGCCTATGACGGATGTTTGTGGGGTTTGTGCACTGAGGCACAGCTGCAATTGAGAGAAGCTAGCAGACATAGTGTAAGCAGGAAATCAGTGGGGGTGGGGTGTCAGGCACCTCTATAGTTTGTTGAGGTAGGATAGGGATAGAGCGAGGCTGTCTTCCATCTCTACTTCCGTGACCTTCCCCAATCTAGGCCCATGCCCTTCCTCTTCTCCATTCCTCTTCCAGGAAGGTTCTGGAGCCCATGGGACTACTGGGGGGCCCCCACTAGGTAAACCATTTGAATAATTCATTGGGGTTTGGGCTTCAAGTCAGTCTGGCAGAAGAGGTTGGAGAGCAGCAGGCATTGGTGGGCAGAGAGGAAAGTGAGCAGCATGGAGTCCCTGCAGATCAGGTGAGGTAGACCCTGAGGTCCCAGTCACTAAGGGAACATTTGTGTCCTGCACCCTTGAAAATCCAGAGGAAATGTGACTTGAATTTGGAAAGTACAGACAGGCGCCCCCATCCCATCTCCACATTGCAGAGTAAGTCACCAAGGCGGGCCACCCAGGGAACCGCCATCCAGCTACCTCCCCCCTTCTTCCCCTCCTTCTCCTCCCTTCCCCACTCTGCCCTTCCTCACAGGCCTCACACACAGCCCTCACTCCAGACCAATCTGACCGCAAATACCACAGAATAGCTAAGACCCACCAGGGCCTCTTCTCTCGCTCCTGGACAGGCCACCAGGTAAGGTTCTTGTCTGAGAGACAAATATCAGTCCTCCACACTTGCTGTACCCAGGAAATTACCTGATGTCCCAACAGCGCCCCCACCCTGCCCCCACCAGCAGCTTCGATGATAGCAGTGTCACCCGTGGTAGGCACCTGGCGGAGTCCAGGCCCAGGTGATCCCAGGCCGTCCTATCATCCCTCTCCCTTGTGTTCCAGGCCTTTATTAAGCAGCCAGTGCAAAAATAAATCCTGTGGGCGTGCCTTGCCAACTCTATTTTTAAGCAAAATCAATTAAGTAATTATCTGAGTCCAACCCAGTGTGCTAAATAAAACCTGCCACCGCTGAGCGTCATCAGTCTGGGGATCCGGGGCCTCTGGGCTTGGCAAGAGCAAGGCATCTCTGGATCGGGGAGAGAATCAGCGAGTCATGCTTTTCCAACTATATATCCTATTTCTTCCCCACTGTGCCTTGACTCCTGACTCCCCACTGCTGCCAACTGCACCCCGACCCAGGTGGACTTGCTCGATTCTGTTTTCACACTTTCTCCCTGACAGTCTCTGGATCTGGATGTCTGTACACACCGTCGCCTTCAAAATCTAAATCCAGTTCACCTCACAAGGATAGCTTCACTGCCTTATTTTTATAGCATATTCTGTTTTTTATTGAGGTGACATTGCATTATAACATCATATATGTTTCAGATGTATATCACTGAAAATCAACATGTGTCGATACTACATTAAGTTCACCTCTAAAAGTCCGGTTCTATCCATCACCCTACAGTCAACCCCCTTCTCCCTGAAACCTTATCTTATAACTGTTTGGTTGCTTGGTTTTATAATTGTTCTTCAGTGGACTCATGTGCATGTGCCAGTGTCACTACCACAACAGTGTAAGACCAGACCCAAATCCTCTCTTTTTACCTTGTTTTTTTTTTTTAGGATTTATTTATTTATGCATACAAGAACTGGGCAACAGGCCAGAGGTGCGGGGGGGTGAGAGAATTCACCAGAGACAGAGTGGGGAGCAGGACAGGTGGATCTACTGAAATACACTGCTGAGTGGAGCAGCAAGCAAGTCAGGAGAGGTCTGCGCATCATGTGGGTATCTCCCTGGGCGGGGATTGAACTCGTGCTGCAGTGGCTGCAGATAGCTTCACAGTGCTGTGCTCAACCCCTTGCTCCACCATGGAGCCCTCTTTTTACCTTGTCCTCATGGGCTTAATATAGTGCTGGGCAAGCAGGAATGACTGAATGAATGCCCACCAAATTAAGGAATTGGCCATCTTATATAACTGCTCAGTTCCTGTAGAGCTCTAGACATTGGCCCAGGGAAATGGTTGAAGTCTCCTGATGAGTGTAATCATTCAAGTAGGCACATATTAAGCACGTAGTACTCATTTTGTCTGCAGCCATTTATTGAGCACCAAGTGTGTGCCAGGAACTCTGCTCAATATCAGGACTACAAATATTGACTAGGACATTGTTGTGCTCTGAGTTCACCATTTGATTATGAAAGACAAACATTCTTCAAAAATATCCTAAGAGCACTGAGAAAGGGATGTAGAAGTTGCTATAGGAACACATGAGAACACCACGTCTGATGACCTGGCAATATTAACCTAATGGCTTAACAGCATTCATATTTAACCTGGGTTTGGAAAGATAGGAGTTTGCTAAGGTGAGAAAGAGAAAAGTAAGAAGAATAGTCTTCATTTAATGATTATTTATTGAGACTTTACCATACACCACTCTATAAATAAACAAGTGCCTGAACCGGAGAAACTTTTGCTAAAGAATCATCAGGTGTTCAGAAATGGGCATTGCTGATGTTCGTAAATCAGGCCCAGTGCGACTATTTGGCATGCTATTGGCATTTAGTGTGTCAGGGTCAGAGATGCTACGTGTCCTAAGGGAAAGAGATAGACCTGGATGCCGTACTGCCAAAGGTATACAGGCATGAGAGATCAGCATGGGTACCAGGAATGGCAAGACATGACTCTGGGGAGGCAGGCGGGCAGGTCAGAAAGGGTGCCATGAGGGAGGGCCTAGCAGAACATTGGCATGGGTGTGGACATGACCGTGGTGTATGAGGCCCTGGTGAGATGGGAGGTGTCAGGAGATAAGAGCAGGTGAGTGAATCAGGCTCCTCGGGAGACTCCCATCCACCCTTACTGTGTGGAGGTTACTATGGGCCAAGCAACGCTCTAGACTCTAGAGCCTTGAGCCACAGTAAATGCAGGTAGGCCGTGACATCGACAGAAGGGTCAACTTTTGACACAGCCTGTGTGGAGATTTCTGGACCTACTAAACATAGAGCTTCCATATGATCCAGCAATTCCACTCCTAGGTATTTACCCAAAGGACACAGAAACATCAATTCCAAAGAACACCTGCACCCCTATGTTTATAGCAGCACTGTTTACAATAGCTAAGCTTTGGAAACAACCCAAATGCCCAAAAATAGATGACTGGATCAAGAAGATGTGGTACATATATACCATGGAATATTACTCAGCATTCAAAAAAGATAAACACATGCAATTTGCAGCAACATGGATGGCGCTGGAAGGGATCATGCTCAGCGAAATAAGCCAAAAGAAAAAGAAAAATACCGGATGGTCTCACTCATAGCAGGAATCTAGAAAACTTAAATAAGGGACCAGGAAAATGAATAACTATAAGAAAGTGAAAATCAAAATCAACAAAAAACTATGAACCAGAGACACTTTTAGGGGGGCAGGGGCGGGAGGGGAGGGATTGGGGTCAGAATGGGGCGCTGCAATTGTATGGGGAATATAACAATAAAATTTATTATCTAATAAAAAAAAAAAAACAACTTTTGACACAGCCTGACATCTTTTTGGAGATTTTGGTTCTGGCCTTCATGCAATGTTATTACACATTTTCCTTTCCTATTATCTGTCCTTCCATGCCATTGGCTCCTTTGTCTCCTTCACTAGCTCCTTTCTCTTCCTTTCTACACCCCTCCTCTGACCTCCCTCCTCCTAAATGCTCCCCTTTTCTTATTCTTTCCCTGTCTTTTCACAGAAAATGATGAAAAAGGAAGCCCTTCTCCTCATCCCCAATGTCCTGAAGGTTTTCTTAGAAAATGGGCAGATCAAATCTTTCACATTTGACGGCCGGACCACTGTTAAGGTAGATACAGTGTCTCCTCTCTTGGGTCAGCGTTGTCCTCTTCACAGCTATATACGTACCTGCAGGTCCCTGGGGTCCTCTGAGTCTGCACATAGACCCTCACTGTCCAACATGGTGGTCTTTGATCTCCTTTGATCTCCTGCAGCACCAGGCTGCAAAAACACATCGTCCTTGGATGGGGTGGGGTGTGGGAGATTTGCACGTGTGTGTGAGTACATGTGTGCACACACTTGCACGCGCACACACATGCACACACACATGCATAAGTGCACCTCTGCTTGTGAAGTGCTTTGCATCCATGTTACATGGAGTCATTCAAGATTCTGAGGAGCTAAGCAGTGTGAAGATCATTAAACCATTTATAAAGTAAAAGTGATTTATATTGATACAATAACACCTACGCAAATTTACACACAAAAATCAACAAACACAGTCTCTCAGGAGATTAGCTTAGCCACGCAGTGTTTTTTAAGTAACAACCAGATCTCAAGCACTGAACCAAGATTTGAAAAGCCCAACAACAGCCCCGTTGGCTGTTCCTTGAACAGAAAGAGCAATTACCAAGCTGCAGTTCTTAATGACTCAGGCAGGTACCTAAAAGTTGGTTCTCCTGATCCTGAGGAAGAGAGGCAGTGATACTACTAACCCACAGGTTCACTCTGCTCTGAGACAGAAATATTTGCTCCTGCTCCCTCTAGACTCTCTGTGGAAAGAGACTGCCATCCCAGAATGAATGGTTTCATGCAACCGAGCTGCCTAGACTGCCAGGCAGCTAAAACACCTGCCAAGAAACCCACCTTGACTTACAGGTGTCCTGAGATAACTCGACTGGGGCCAAGACAACCCTCTGAAATAAAAGAGAAACTTTTGGGCCAGGAAACTTTCAGCAAGAGGAGTTATCAAAAGCTCAGAATGGCCTTGCCAGTGTTCTTAGCTAGGGTCACCACTGCCCCCTCCCAGATGGTTTTGGCGAACTTCTCCAGATATTTTGGGTCACCCCAATGATTTGGCATGCTACTGGCATTTAGTGTCTCAGGGTCAGAGATGCTAATTGTCAGAGGGAGCAGAACAGTCCCTGAATGAAGAATTATCCTGCCCAAAGTGTCAGTCACACCTACGTTGCAAAACACTGGTGCCATGTTAATTGAACCCAGTGTCTATGGAAAGCCCAAGCCTGGGTGGGCTCCCCCAGGGGACACAAGACCAAAACACACTCATCAGGGTGCCCTGGGATGATCTCTGGGTTATTGAAGGTGTCAGTCTATATACAGGCGGGTCATTGAAATGGAGCTAGGCCACCTACAGGTGCCCAAATGGCCCTCCTACATGTGGATAGCTCTGTGTCATGATCCTCCTTAGTGTTTATCCATAGGTCAATGTGTCTGTTGCAGATCTGTCTCCACATTGGAGCACCCCCTACTCCCGCTTTCCCCTTGAAGGCTTCTCTAATCATTCTCCCACCTCACAACAGCAGCGCCATTGTTGCTTCCAGGTAGCAGCCCCGGCCTTCCAGGACAGCAGCGTCCCTGGGCTCATGAACTCATCCTGATTTCAGGGAGAGTGTTTGGGCTGTTCACTGGAACTTGGATAGGCTGCCAAACCATTTGTCCCACAGAGGTACCTGCGTGAATTGACAGCCTGGCACAGAGGCTGTTACACTTGTAACACCAGTTGGCAATCACCGGCTTGGCTGTCCACAATCCCAATGCAGCCGAACTGCAAAGAAAACCTCATTTGTCCTTGCCATAGCTTCAGCAACACTGGCGTCTCTGTGACTGCTTGAATAATACAAAGAGATACTCTCAAGTACCCACCAATTTCCAGCCTAACATTTGAATGGCTAAGCATCTTTTAATGTTCACTGAGGGGCTTGTTTGGCTTCCCTGGCTGTGAGAGAAGGCGCCTACCCAAGCCCACTTCTTTTTTTTTTTTAGAGATTTATTAATTTATGCATACAAGAACTGGGGTACAGGCCAGAGGTGCGGGGAGGGTGAGAGGATTCACCAGAGACAGAGTGGGGAGCAGAACAGGCGGATGTACTGAAATGCACTGCTGAGGGGATCAGCAGGCGAGACATGAGAGGTCTGTTGCACCATGTAGGTCAGCTCCCTGGCCAGGTATGGAACTCATGCTGCAGTGGCTACAGATTGCTTCATAGTGCTGAGAGTTCATTCCTTTGTGCCACCAGGGAGGCCCCCCCAAGCCCACTTCTTTCCAGCCTCTGGGGACTGTGGAGAGCTGACTCCAGGAACACTCTTACACTGGAGCCCAGCAGATGCCAAAGTCACAGCAAATAGATGGCAGGAGTCTCAGAACTGACATTTGGGCAGCCCCCACGGATGTGTTTCCAGACACCCTAACATTAAAAGTAGGGCAGCAGAGCAGACGGAGCCCCCGAGTAGTCAGATTTATGACTGCACACAAAACACGTGATATAGTTCCTCTGCACGGACACATTTTTCAAGTTGCTAAATTGATCGTCTCTAAAAGCCAGCTACCAACAAAATTGAACATTTTGCCAGTAACTCAAGTCATTCGATTTAGATTATGAATCCAGAAATAGTCTTCTTTTTAATCATATCATTGTGGCTTCTGCTTTTGTTAATGTCTAAGTAAGGAGTTGACAAACCAGAGTGAATGTTCTGACTGACTGGAGAAGGTGAGGGAAGAAACCAACACAAATGCAACACAAAAACCTAAATCAGACACAAATGCACTTCCTGAGCACTCAGGAAATAATTTGTTGAGTGGAAGGAGGGCAGGAGGGCCATGACTTCTTGCTTTTGGTCTGGCCAGGCCAAGTTCAGAAACACTTCCCTCCACCCCCGGCACCTTTGATGTTCCCCCAGGCTAGCACCTCATCATGGAGCACAGCCTGGGCTACCACAAAGGCCAGTGTCTCTGTCTTGTCTGACCTGCTTTCCCAGCCTCAGCCTTCACCCCCAGATCATCTTGCTTGGTGTCAGTCCCCTTCTACCATGTTGACTACTTAGAAGAGCCTAGAGATGAACGGTTCTCCCTCTCAAGGCTCTTTTCTCTTGCACAGGATGTGATGGTGACATTACAGGACCGTCTTTCCCTGAGGTACATCGAGCATTTTGCTCTTGTCCTTGAGTATGCTGGGCCAGAGCAGAACCACAAGTTCCTGCTTCTCCAGGACAAGCAGCCCCTGGCTTATGTAAGTATTTCCTTTCTCTTAGCGTGATAGCTTGTATGTGGCCTCTACAACAGAAGAGGACACAAGGCACTCTCTGGAAAATTCGTAGTCATATGTTCAGCCAGTTCCCAGAAGTCAATAGCTCTCAACCAAGATCTGTACTACCCATCTCCAGAGGGCTTTTGGCAATGTCTCTTATAGCCAAAGAAGAGCATGAAGATTGTTAGCCTGGGTCCCTAGTGGGAAAATCATGGGGTGGTGTTTCACTGCCTGCCACTCGAATGCTGAGTTGAAGGGCAGTGTCAACTCTTCTGTCTCCTGAACGCCCTGCCTGCTAAACTTTACTGCCTCTGTCATGGAATTCAGCCTTTGGCTGAAGCCTGTAATATGGAATGGTCAGCAAATGGAGTCTCGTGAGTCCCATGAGGCTAGGGCACATATGGGATGAGAATGGGCTGAATGGGGCCAAGACTGGGCTTCATACTATCCACATAAATCTCCAAGGTAGAGGAAGAGAAAGCATCTTCTCATTCTTGCCTTTGCCATATGGACAAAAGCTGGGAAAATTCAGCATTGCTGGATAGTATTTCACCAATGGCAAAGTGCCAAGAAGAGTCATAGAGGCTTGTCAGTATTCCCAGAAAGGGAGGGAGAGTAGAAGAGGGGTGGTTGGGAAGAAATACCTAAATGGAAGCAAAACAAAACCCAAAACTCAGACACAAGAAAATGAAAGGATCTTAGGGAAGAAGCATTCTTCAAGTTTAGCTCTCAGTAAAATGTAGTCCAGAGACTCACAGCTTCCCACCTATGAAGGGAAGGTTGTTAGTGCTCTGTCTAGAGAGAAATCCAAGAACCTCCCTGCCCCTCAAGAGAGCTTTTAGATCCAGTTGGTCTTTTGTTCCAATGTCTTTATGAAAAATCTCAAACAGACAGAAGTCAGGAGAATTACATAATGAACCTTCATTACCCATCACAACTTCAGCAGCTACCAACACATTGCCAACTTGTTTCACCTATACTTTCAAATGGGATTTTAAATCTTGGAGTTGGCTTCTAATCAACAACTTCCTCTGCTTGAGTCTATCTACAAGGTAAAGGCATTAGCTCTCCAGCAAGGAACGAGTTAAGAGAAGTTCCCAGAAGCCCTCTCTTCCTACCTAGTGTCTTGGGCCTTAGAACTAGTTGTTGATAAAGGCCATGTCCTGAATAAGTGATTTGAAAATTCTAGTCACCTTGGGTCAGAAAGGTAGAAAATCCCTGACTCTTCATCACTTTCCTCTAAGGTAACCAGAATCACCAGGCCGGAGATAGAGTGGAAAACTGCAGCCTCACTCTAGCCCAAGGTCAGACTTGAAGAGACACTGAGCTGGCTTCCGCCACCCCAGCCACTAATTCCAGATCTCTTTCAGGTGGTGCAGCGCACGCACTATCAAGGAATGAAATGCCTCTTCCGAATAAGCTTCTTTCCCAAAGACCCTGTGGAGCTGCTGCGTCGGGATCCTGCTGCTTTTGAGTACCTGTATATCCAGGTAGAGTCTGGCTTGGGGATACATAGACAGCTACCCAATGGACAAACAGGCAGGCAGTCTGTTCTGCCATCACAATGAAGTTACTGTGTGAGTCACTCCAACCTGCAAATAGCTCTAAAGGCCCTTTCCTTTTCTGTTACCTTTGTAGACCATGGCCAAGTGTGTCGGCCTGGTCACCTGAGCTGACCATGGTTCAAAGTCCTGTCTGTTTGTCCAGAAAAATCTCATCAGCTTTCAGAAACAAGCAACCTCAGTAATGCTGTCATCCTCACAGGATCCCCAGGTTTAACAAATGCATGTGGATAACAGAGGTTCCCAACCCCCAGTACCAAGCTTCAGTCAGGAGGTGATTCCCAATTCAGTTGATCCAGAAACATTTGTGGGCATTCACACTGGGCCGGGTATTGTCCTAGGTACTGGCAGTGAGGGCTGAATAAAGAATTGTCTCAGTTTCTAACGCTCATAGATACATGCACATACAAAAGACAGTGTTACAGGTACTGCAATGATGGCAGGGTACAACCCAGGAAGCAGGTTTCCAACTCTCCATGGGAGGGCGATGATGAAGGCTTCACAGAGGAAGCGATTCATGCACTCTTCACTTTGAAGGATGAGTGGAAGTTTGCTGTGTGCAGAGATGGAATGGCGCAGGCACCTTCTAGGCAAAGGGACTTGCATCTACAAAGACTTGGTGGCATGAAACAGCACAACAGGATGAGAGAACTGTGGGTAATTTATTACAACTAGAGTGCAGAATGTAAAAAGCAGCAGCAAGTGCAATGGGAGAGACAGGAAGCAAGTGGCAAAAGGCTCGGTAGGTCACGGCAAGCACAGGCCTAAAAGTGATCCAGGCCAATGGTTCTCGAAGTGCGGTCCCTGGATCAGCAGCATTAGCATCAAACAGGAACTTGTTAGAGATGCAAATTCTTGGGCTCCTACTCAGTACTATTGAATCAGAAACTGGGGGTAGGGCCTAACAATCTGTGTTTTAACATGCCCCTCCAGGGGATTCTGATACCCATAGATGGTGTTTGGGAACCACTGCATTAGGGCAGTAGTTCTCAACCTTAGCTGCCCCTTAGATTTATCAAAGAAGCTTTGAAAAAAATGTACTACTGCCCCCCCCCAAGACCAAATAAATGAAAATCTGTGGGAATGGGGTCCAAACACATATTTCTAAAAATTTCCTCAGGTGCTTCTAAGGCATAGCCAAGTTAAAAAAAAATATGCTATAGGGTAGCAACACAAATGTTAAAAGGAGAATAGTCTAGTCAGATGAGCAGTTTCCAAAGATTCCATAGAGCTAAGGAAGTACACCAGCTAAGGAGCTATTGCAGTAATCCAGGGGAAGGAGAATGGGGCTGGAAGCAGGACCATGATGGCAGGGGTGGGATGGAATTCAAGTATATTTAAAGGGTATATAGTAGATGGGCTTTGAGGGCTTTGACTTGGTGAGTATCTGGTAGAAGTGATGCCACTCCCCCAGTTAGAGAATATAGGCAATGGAATGGGTTTGGAGAAAGATGAGTTCATTTGGGAAGATGTTATGTTTTAGGTACCTACAGGACTTACAGAGCACTTGATTGGAGGCGGGGGGCTCAAAACTCTGATGGTGACACCTGGATGTCCCTTCTGCCCTTTCTCACACCCTAAAATGTTAGGAACAGTTCTCAAACAGCTTCAAATTCCTTTACCAGTTTAGTTCTCCTTTCGTTTATCCTAAATTTCTTCAAGCTTCCAGAAATTGACTCTGTTTAAGTATTTTGGAATTTTGGGGACAAGACCATGTCCACTCTTTGTGATGATATGGACTTCAGCTGTACTCCTTTTTTATATTGAACAGCTTTATTGACAAATTGCATCATATTAATAAACTGCACATATTTAAAGTGTACAATTGGATAAGTTTTGGCATGTTTATGCCCATGAAACCATCATCACAATCAAGATGTTGAACAAATCTAACATGCCCACCTCAGGCACCTTTATAATTTGTCCCCCTCATCTCCAGGCACCTAATAACTTGCTTACTGTCACCATAGATTAGTTTTGTCTTCTAGAGTTTTATTATATAAGAGAAATCAAACAGTAAATGCACTTATTTTGGTTTGGCTTCTCTTACTCAGAATTTTGAGATCCATACAAAATGTGTATCAGTAGTTCATTCCCTTTTTATTGAAATTTGATCAACTTATGCCATTATTGTAGTTTCAGATGAACAACATAATGACTGACATTTCTGTGCATTGCAAAATGACCTTCACAATAAATATGTTTGCCATCTTTTCTTAGCAACTTTCAAATGCACAATACCATTGCACTGCCTATAGTCCCCATAGTAGTTTATTCTTTTTTATTGTGGAGTAGTATTCCACGGTATGGAGTTATCGAAATTTGTTTATCAGTTCACCTGCTGATGGACATTTGTGTTATTTCTGGGTTTTGGCTACTACAGGTAAAACTTCTATGAACATTTATGTACAAGTCTTTGTATAACATATGCTTTTTTTTTTCTCTTGGGTAAATACCTAAGCATGGAATGATTTGAACATAAGTTAGATCTATCTTTAATATTTTTTTTAAATTGACAAGTCTTTTTTAAAATTTATTTATTTATGCATATAAGAACTGGAGTACAGGCTAGAGGTGCAGGGCAGGGGGTGGTGAAAGGATTCACCAGAGACAGAGTGGGTAACAGAACAGGCAGACTGACTAAAATACACTGCTGAGGGGAGCATCACGAGAGACAGGAGAGGTCTGCTGCGCCATGTGGGTACTCCCTGGCCGGCCGGGGATCAAACTCATGCTTCAGAGGCTGTGGGTAGTTTCACAGTGCTGTGCTTATTAACCTCTTGCACCACCAGGGAGGCCCTATATTTATTTTTTTAAAGAAATCTCAGTGCTTTTTTCCAAAGTAGCTGTATAGTTTTACATTCCCACCAGCCATGTATGATATACTTCATGGCCTCATCCACTCTGGATATTGTCAATATTTTTTTTCAGTCATTCTAACAGTGTGCAGTGGTATCTGAGTGTGGTTTTCATTTGCATTTCTCAGTGACTAATGATATTGAAGATCTTCTTGTGTGCTAATTTGCCAAGGTGTTTCTTTTTTTTTATATATATAGAGGCATGTTTTTTATTTAGTTATTTGTTTGTTTGTTTATACATGCACTGAGTACAGTCAGAAGTGAGGGAGGGTGAGAGAATTCACCAGAGCCAGAGCGGGAGGCAGAGCAGGCAGAAGGACCGAAGTACACTGCTGAGGGGAGCAGCGGGCGGCAGGAAAGGTCTGCGCGCCATGCGGGACCCTCCTCCGGTGGCCGGGCAGCCGCTGGGGATCGAACTGGTGCCGCAGAGGCCGCGGGCAGCTTCGCAACCCAGCGCTCAACCGCTGCACCACCGGGGAGGCCCAAGGTGTTTCTTTTTTTGGTGAAGTATCTATTCAAGTCTTCTGACTACTTTTTAAATTGGGGTTGCTTCTCTTCTTACTATTTAATTTTAAGCATTCTAGATGCTAGTTGTTTGTTGGATATATTATTTGCACTATTTCTCCCAGTGTCTGACTTGTCTTTTCAGTCTCTAAATGGTGTCTCTCATAGAGCAAGAGTTTGAATTTTGATGAAGTCCAATTTGCCAATTTATTCTTTCATGGATTGTGCCTGTGGTGTCATATCTCTAACAAGATCTCTAACGCAAGATCATAAAGACTTTTATCCCTTTTTTTCTAAAGTTTTTATCTTTTTAGGTTTTACATTTAAGTCTGTGATTCATTTTTTTGAGTTAACTTTTATATGTAGTGCAAGTTATTGATCAATGTTCCTTTTTTTATATGACTGTCCAATTGTCCCAGCACCATTTTTGAAAAACCTATCTTTTCTCCACTGAATTGCTTTTGCATCTGTGTAAAAAAAAAATGAGTTTCTATATGTGTGGGCCTATTTGTTTATTCCATTCCATTGATCTACTTGTTTGTCTTTATGCCACCTTCACACTCTTTTAATTATAGTAGCTTTATAATAAGTCTTAAAATCAGGCAGTGTTTCTCCTCTAACTTTGTTCTTCTTTCTCAGAGTTGTTTTGGCTAGCCTAGGTCTTTTGCATTACCATGTGAATTTTAGCTTTTAAGTTTCTACCAAAAATCTGCTGTGATTCTGGTTGGGATTGTGTTGAATCTGTAGATTGATTTAGGGAGAATTGACATCTTAAGAATATTGAGTCTTCCACCCATGAACACAGTGTGTGTCTACATTTATTTTGGTCTTCTTTAGTTTTTTCTCAGCAATGTTATCTAGTTTTTAGTGTACAAGTCTTTGAAATATTTTGATAGATTTGTCCCCTTTTTTATGCTATTGGGAATGGTTTTGATTTTAAATTTCCATTTCTAATTGTTTGTTACAAGCATGTAGGAATACAATTGGCTTTTTTTTTAAGATTTATTTATTTATGCATAGAAGAGCTGGGGTACAGGCCAAAGATGTGGGGGGTGAGAGGATCCACCAGAGACAGAGTGGGGAACAGGACAGGCAGGCTGACTGAAATACACTGCTGAGGGAGCAACGGCGAATCAGGAGAGGTCTGCTGCACCATGTGGGTTTCTCCCTGGCCGGCTGGGGATTGAACTCGTGCTGCAGAGGCTGTGGATTGCTTCATAGTGCGGTGCTTAACCCCTTGTGCCACCAGGGAGGCCCTACAATTGGTTTTTTTATAATTTTACATCCTGTAAACTTGCTAACTCATTAATGGTAGTAGTTTTTTATTTTGTGTAGATTCCATTGGATTTTCTACATACACGATCGTTTATGAAGTTCTCCTTTTCCACTCTCTCCTACGCTGTAGTAATACCACTGTGGCTCCCTAGTCCCTTAGCTCATCCTGGTTCTACCTCGACAAAATGACAACTGGTCTAATCAAAACGGAATCATTGATGGCTGGGATTTTGAGCTCAGGGTTTGGGGACTGTCAGATCTTTGGCCAGTAGTTTGAGGGAACCCCCTTTAGGATAGGATAGCAATCCCCAAGGAACAGAATATCTACCTCATCTCTGAATCCATTTTTTACCCGAGGCTTCTACACCAGAGCTGGATGGAGAGCCCCTCCCAATGTCTTTCTTCCTTTGTTCCCATCTGAGCTAGTAGAGGAGTCCTGTGTAGTGAGGGGTTGAGCATAGGCCCCCAAGAAAATATGGGGCGGGAGGGTCTCTTGCAGCAGGAGGAAAGAGAGCATCAGCATGTCTCAGCAGTGACCTTGACATTCTGCCCCTTGTGCCTTGCCATTGTGTGCCTGTCTCTGAGAAGGTTATCCATTGTCTGCTGAATGAAATTATTAGTGTCTCTGAGACCCGAGGTTCCTCTGTTGTCCCTTCTCCAAGGGCAGAGCCTTCCTTTTCCCCTTGATCTAGGGTGTCTCACTGACACTACGTTTCCTTTCTGGGAGGCAAGGGAGTAGATCGGGGCTGAAGATGGGGTTGGAAGCTATGTCTTCTTTAACTGATGGGTTTGCACTGCACTCTCTCACAGAGTCGAAATGATGTTATCCGAGAACGCTTTGGAATGGACCCCAAGCCAGAGATGCTTTTGGGCCTAGCTGCTCTCCACATCTATATCACTGTCTCAGCCACTCGACCTAGTCAGAAGATCTCGCTCAAGAATGTGGAGTGAGTTGTGCCGGGGCCCTTCAAGAAGGGGGTAAATAGCTGCATAGGGAGAAAATACAGTTGTTGAGTTGTACTGAAATTTTCAGGAAGATAGGCCTGGGATGGGAGTGAGAATTGGAGTTCCTTACACCTAGACCATGAACTACAGCTTCTACCAGGGAACTGTGGCCAGTGTAATTCTCCTGTCCTATCCCTCTCTCTTTTTCTCCCAGACTCCATTTTACCATCTTCCTTTCTCTTTCCACTTTGATTCGCTCTCTAATTTCTTACTTTTCTTCTGCTTTTAGGAAGGAGTGGGGCCTGGAACCCTTTCTTCCCCCCTCCCTCCTGCAGGGCATCAAAGAAAAGAATCTCCGGAAATCTCTCTCTCAGCAACTGAAGGCCCACCAAACACATCCTTCCAGCGGCACCAAGGTACCCGGATAAGTCACTGAGCACCCTGCTCTGGCACCAGTAGCCAAGGGGGAGGGGGAGAGCCTGGTTTCTCAGCAGGTCTGGTCTTCTAGGGACCCTCCCCTCTGTTTTTGACTCAGGGACACATCCAACTTGGCCAGATATGGGGGCTAATTGTAGAAGAGGGCTTTCCCTAAATCTAAGCACAAGCACCACACCCCCACAGGAGGACAGCTAATAACCAATCACTAAGTGAGCCTAGGGTCCTCAAAACAAAGGAGCCAAAATGCAGGAGGAGAAAATCCTCAGGTGCTTTAACCAATTTAGTGAGAGCACCTGCCGTGTGGAAAGCACTGGATCCCGGGGAGACACATGTTTTCCATGGAAATGACTGCACTCTCACTCATTAACTTTCTAATTCATCCATCAGTCCCTGTATAGGGGATTCTGGGAGATAAAAGCCCAGCCCAGCAGGACAAGGCCTGACCTAGAGAATGGGTCACTGGGCATCAGGCCATGAACTCAGGACTGTGCTGTGCTCCACTGCACATTCTAAGGCTCACATCCCCTTACCGTCTGAGGGACTCCCACTTGCTGCTCCCCCAGTCCTGCAGGCCCTTCTCAGGCTTATAAGGCTCACTCTGCTTGTGCTTTCCGCCCTGGAGGCAGAAGGGTGGTGAGAGACACTGGCTTCGGCATGCAGATGTAGACACAGGACACGGTTGCCCCCCTCGTCTCCACCCATTCCAGATTCCTTGCATTACCAACTAGCTTGTCTTTTAAGATGCAAATTTCCCCAGAGAGTTAAGCCCTCCCTACCTTGCTGTGCATATTTAATCAGATAGTTTTCTTCCCAGCGGAGAGCATGTGTGCTCCCAACCGGCTCTTCAGCAAATATATTTTTGAGGTTCCCCAGGTCTCAGGTTGGAGGTACAAAGATGAAGAAAGCCTGGTCGCCACCCTCCAGCAGGCACAGGCTAAACGGGGAAACACAAGGCAGTGTGACAGGTGTGGCTGCTCTGAAAGCAGGGAGGAGGAAGGCCCAGCCCAGCCAGAGGGAGGCGGGAAAGGCCCAGAATTGGTAGTTGCCTGCCGCAGCTGTCTTGCAGGGCAGACAGATAGGACTTTGTCTCGATGATACTTTCCAGGTAGGGAGTCTCGTCTTTGCAAAGGCCAGAAATATGAGAGAATATGGTGCATGGAAAGAAACGGGAATCGTTCAGCCTAAGCAAGTTCGGAGAGTGCAAGGAATGTACCTGGGCTATGAGTGGGGGAGCAAGAGACGACACCAGAGAGGTGGATAGGAGCCAACTCTGCTATCCAAAGGAAGGGGTGTGCCTTATCCCTCAGTATAGCAGGACACCATTGAAGGGTTTAAGCAGGCATATGATATGATTAAATTTATCTTCTAGGGTGTTCCCTCTAACAGCAGTGTAGAGGGGTTGAGAGAAAGGAGTGTCAGTAAGGGAGGTGACTTGACTGCCATCCTGACACAGGTGGGAGACATTGAGGCAATGACCGTGGGGCTAGAGAAGGGGGTGGGTAGGTTGGAGGGGGAGTTGGCAGATAGAATCAAGATGGTGATTCTATCAAGTGAGATGAGTGGGACACCACTGTGACTCGTAGGTTTCTGGCTCAAAAGCCCAGAAATGGCGGTACCACTGCTGGGGACTTTTCTATGAGGGGAATACTAGAGAAGGGCAGGTTTGGGACTCAGGGGTACCCAGGATTAAAAGTATTGAATGGGACTCAACGGCCAGTACCTAGAAGTAGCTACACAAGTGGCTACAGAAGATCTCAGGAGAGAAGTATAGCTGGGCTGGGGTGTCAGCGACGGGGAAAAGTATTGGAATTGTATCAAGAACAAAATGAGTAAACTGGATATTTACGGAACAAGGATCTAGAGGTCGGAGAAGGGTTTAGAAAGGAAGATGGGATGTGAAAGGCAAGAGCTGTCCAAATTGTAAGCTTCCTGCAGTTTTTCTGAGGGTCGCCTCATACACCCACACTGTGGCTTGCTGACTAGTCCGACTAAGACGTTGCAACTCCTTCCTGAGAATGTGGGTTTGCTCTCTGGTGCACTTCAGGCATCTCATATTTCTGGATGGGTTGTTTCCACAGGGCTCCGCCATTCAGGCAAAGCTCCAGTATCTTCGAATTCTGAATGAACTTCCGACCTTCACAGGCGTTTTGTTCAACACTGTGGGCCTGGTCAGTGAGGGCAGTGTTGGGGCGGGGGGCAGTCCTTTGTGGGTGTTTGTCCTTGGGTTTGGGAGGGCAGGAGGGACTCCATTACAGCTTTAGGGTGGCTTTCTCGGCCAGCATTTTTCTGGAGGCTTCCATTCCTCTTTCCCCTTCTTCTCCCTCACCCAGCCCATGGTGCTCTGGTCTGCTTCTGGCAAAATGGTAAAGGAGGCAACATTTGTTTTCAGTCCTCCTTCATGACTCTTTTGTGTCCCCCTTCCCCTATTTCAAGGGTCAGCAAACTTTTTCCCCTCAAGGCCCAGGTGGTAAACATGTTAGGCTTTGCAGGCGGGCCACGCAGATCTCTGTTTCAACCACTCAACCCTACCATTGTCACACGCAGGCAGCTGGAGACAATGCTTAAACAAATAAGTGTGGCTGTGTTCCAATATCTTTTTATTTATGAACGCCGAAATTTGAATTTCATGTGATTTTCACGTGTCACAAAACATGGTTCTTTTGAATTTTTTCCCAACCATTTACAAATGTTAAAACATTCTTAGTATGTGGGCCTCACAGAAACCTATGGAGGGCCAGAGTTTGTCAACCCTAGCTCTACTTCATTGCCCTTCCCCATACCCCCCCCCACTGTACACTTCCACCTGGCTGCCCGGGCCTCTCTTGCAGCCATACCCCTTTCTGGTGGGGCCCAGCTGCTCCCCCAAGACTGTGCTCCAGGCATGCTTACCCTAGTGAGCCACGGTGAAAGGAAATGCAAATCATCTTGCTGACTGGATCCAGGTGCTTCTCAGGCTGTGGGCCACACTGACCAAAAGCCGCTTATCAAAGTGTCTAGAACAGATGGAAGAGATTCCTCAGGCTGATGCTAATGACAGGGAATGGGCCTGCAGAGGCTTCAGACTCCATGGCTCCAAAGAACCTGTCAGGCCCACTTAAGGGAATCCAGTCCGTCAGGACAGAGGTAGCCTTTTACATACTGGGATTTGAGGATCAGCAGTGGCACAACCCCTGGCACTGCTGAGATTTTTCTAGGCCATCCCTTTGTCTGGGACTGCTAAAGTACCTTTTACAGGGTAAATATCTTCTTAGGGTGGAAAATAGCCCATTAAGTTCCTAATCAACCTTACCACCTTAGGCTGAGTTACTTTGTCAGTATAGCTTTTGGCACTGGGTGAAAAGTACAAGTTTGAGTGGTATTGGTGAAGGGGTGCAGGTGGTAAAGACCAAACACAGAATACCACCCGTTCAGGCAAAGCACTAGGTGGGGGCCTTGAATGGCCTATAGCAACAAATGGCATGTCCCTGAGGCTCAAGAGAAAGAGGGTGCTGTGAAGGTACCCAAACCAAGCTCACCTACTTCATGCTTTTGCTAGAGTGAAATCTGCTGCTGCCCACTTCACTCAACCAGCTGCTGAGGCTGTGGTGTCCCCTCAGACTGATGATGATGATGATCCAGGGCACTACTCAGGGAATGGGGTTCCCGGACCAATTTCCCTTGAGGTTGTCTCCCGCCCTGGCATTGAGCCCCAGATGTTTCCAGACCTCTCGACAGATCCAGTTCAATGCCTATTCTCTATTTCCTCCTCCTGCCTCCTCTTCCCACCTCCTCTGCCCTTCCTGCTGTGAATGCCTGCCACACTTGGGTACCAGGATGAGAAGCAGTCGGCCACCACTCTTCTGGTGGGACCCCGTCACGGCATCAGCCATGTTATTGACCTCAAAACCAACCTCACCACTGTGCTGTCCGAGTTCAGCAAGATCAGCAAGATCCAGCTGTTCCGGGAGAACCAGGGCGTGGCCCGGGTGGAGACCAGCATCATGGATGCCAAGGTAATCCGGCTTTAAGGGGATGCTTTTCTCTAGGGAGAGACCTTGGGTCCAGAGGAAGAAGTCAATCTGAGGGAGTTTAAACCTGTTTGAACCAGTGCAAGGGGAGGATTAGAAGTGGGAAATGTCCCATCAACTGGTCTTCAGCAGAGGGCAGGGGAATTGAACAGCATGGAGGTAGCCCTCGGCCATCACTTCCCAATCTTTCTCGTGCCGTAGCATGCATAGAATATCACATTCATGTGGATCATTGGGGTAAATGAACCAGCCCCAGACACTTCAGCCACCCCAGGCCCTACCTGGCTGCCACCCCACAGGGGCCAAAGTGATATGAACGCACCAGTTGGGGACCCCTGCCCACCATAGGCATGCATGCTTGGAATCATGGAGATGAGGATCAAGGGGCCTGGGATGATGGGGAACTGGCAGAACCTAGTCCCCATTTTACTCCTCCGATTCAGCTATTCCCGAACCTTAGAACCTTTGCCCTAGATTGGCTCCTTCAGACTGGCAAGCAGCTGTCACCTGTGCAGAGTCTGGCAGCCATGATCAGCCACCCCCTCCACCACTCTCCTGTTTGAATACTTAGTTACCAGTGGGGGCGGGGAGTGGGGGTGGCTGGGAGGCTGGCCTGCCAACTGGCAGAGGCTGTTCGAGGAGGTACAACTTTCCTTTCTTAAAGGATTTCCCACGGGGAGATATTGTTAGCAGATTAAGAGGTGGAATGTTTGCTGTTTCTAGAAGAGCAAATTATTTACTTTATTTTTGTCTTTGTGAAGCCCAGAGAGCTTTAATATGTTAATCTTTCCACCAGTGAGTCACAGGATTCCCATTGGCTTAGGAACATGCTCAGAGCTGATGCTTAATTGGCTTGTGGCCACTTCCTTAACCAATGATCGCTGCCCTACTCAGATGTTGTTGGGTAAAAAGCCAAAAGGACGGGTAGGGAAGGGAGAGGAAGGTCAAGATACAGGGGAGATGTGGCTTCTTGCAAAATGAAGTTTAAAACAGAGATACAGCTCTCCAACTAAGTCACTTTCTATGCCTACAAGTGATTTTCAACATTGGCTGCACAATAGAATTTCCTTGAGAGCTTTTAAAATACACAGAGGCCTGGCTCCTCCTCCCAAAGAATGTGATTAAATCGACTGAAGTGGGGATCCTGAGCATCAGGATTTCTTTCTTTCTCAGTTCCCCAGGTGATTCTGTAGTAAGCCAGGTTTGAAAACCACTCATCTCTCAGACCAGACATCTGGGAGTGGGGTGAGTAAGGAGCACCATCCTCATTTTTGAGGCGCAATCTAGCCATAGTTATGGGCACGAATACTGCTGTGGAGGGGCTACACTCTTATTGTGGAAACTAGACTCACAAAGACATGTGACCGACCTCAATAACACATCAGGGCATGCATGGAGCTCTGGGATCAGACCAGAACCAAATCCCAGCAATGCCACTTCCTAGCTGTGTGGCCTTGAAAAAGTGTCTTAAGGTCTCCGACACTGATTTCAACTGCAAAATGTAGTGCCTGACTCAAAAGGTTGTTTTCCAGGGTTAAATGAGAAAATCTATGTAAAATGTGTTTGCGCACTGCCTGACACATAGTAAGTACTAAAAAATTGAGAGCTATTATATCTTTAAAAGCAAAACAGCAATGAAGAAAAGTGAATATGAAGTAAATTTTGTAGGTAAATCTGGTATAGAATATGGAACAAAAGGACAGGAAGGGGTTAACCAGAACTGGCTTCCCACAAGAGTCTTTTAATCTGGATCCTGAAGTGGTAGGCACAGATTAGCAGAGAGAAGTGGGATGTGTTCACAGGCAGAGAACAAGCATGGAAGAAAGCAAACCATATGTGCAGGCTGATACACATCATTTGCCTGACTGGAGGGAAGAATGAAGAAGGGGCTTGGAGAGACTGGGGGTGGGCGAAGCAAACTAGTTGAAAGTTTCAAAGGCTGGTCCAAGAGGTTAAGGTTCAGTGTGATAGAATAGTGGGAATCCGCTGAAGGCCTGTCAGGACAGCAGTGACAGAAGGAAAGCTAACTTGGACCCGTGTGCAAGGTGGATGGAGCAAGACTACTGGGAAGCCAGGGAGATTAGTGAGAGGAGCATGGTGCTGGTGCAGGAGTGAATTGATAAGGCAGGGCCTGAGCCGGAGAGACAGCAGTGGTGATGAAAGAGTCAGAGTGAATGTGAAGTGTGTGGGGGAATCATTGAATGTGCACGCCATGTCCCCACACACATCCCCCTTGCACGTACAAAGCACATGTCTTGCCATACCTAAGCCTTGTGGGCTGCTGCCTGTATCCCGAGTGCACTGAAGAACAGTGCTATGCACACAACACCCAGAGGTTCACCTCTCGGGTGCGTAGAAAGGTGAGAGACTACAGTATGGAATAAATGGGAGATCATATTGGTGATGGGGAAGGGGAGGGCAAGAGGAAAGCTGCACTTCACTGAGTAGGAAACAGCAATTTGGTTATGTGGATGATGCCCCCATCCAGTGGTGGATAGTTCAGGTCTGCCTTACTTGAAGCAACCGATTAAATGTATGTGAAAAACCACAGTGGTTGTCCACTTTATGCTTCAGTGTTTCTACCTGTGAAGAGATTTCTCATTGTGGTGGGCAGAATCATGCCCACCACTGGTCCAAAGATGCCTATGTCCTACTCTCTAGATCCTGTTAATATGGTGTTATATGGCAAGAGGAAATTAAAGTTGCAGGTGGAATTACAATTACAAATCATCTGATCTTAAAATAGGGAGATTAACCTGGATGATCCAGGTGGGCTCATGTAATCACAAGGGTCCTTATAAGTGGAGGAGGAAGGCAGAAAGAAGGTCAATATATCATGTGAGAAGGACTCAGCCTTGAAGATGGAGGAAGGGGCCACGAGCCAAGGTATGCAGCAGCCTGCGGAAGCTCAAAAGGCAAGAAAATTCATTCTCCCCTAGAGCAAAAGCCCCAGAAGGCACACAGCGCTGCATCCCCTTGATTTTTAACCCCACTGGGCCGGTGAGAGACTCATATCAGAATTCAGACCTCCAGAACTGTAAGAAAATAAATATGTATTGTTTAAGCCACTAAGTTTGTGGTAATTTGTTGCAAAAGTAACCAAAAACTAATGTATCATCAGATTTGGTCAAGCAGGAAGCTCTCATACACCACCTTAAGATATGACTTGATGAATAAGTGTTCTGCTCATACCCAAATTTTGTTATGCGAAATCAGATTCATCTGTAATCGGGTGCTTGCTAGTTCTAAGTCAGTACCTTATGAAGCGGATAGGGAGATATTCAGCAGAGGCAGGATCAATGATACAGCAGTGGGAAGAAAAGAGAAAGATTGTGGGGAAAAAAAGATGCAGATTCCCATTTGAGGTGGGAGAGACAAAGATGGGGGTGGGGAGCTTGTCTCCTGCCCTCAAGCTTACTAGCTTGTAGGAGAGAAAGAAGTAGATGAATATGTCGCATACCAAAGGAGGAACCATAGGAGAGGTACCAGTCGTGAGTACAGAGAGCAAAATTAATTCTGACTAGGGTTAAAGGAAGCTTCCTGGAGGTATTTTATGTTAGTAGTGTCTGTGGTTACTGTGCAGTGCCTTTCTCTAATAGATGTGAACAATCGAAGGGATGGATTGTGGAGGACGGGGTCTGGGACACTCCCTACAAGAGAATGGCTTCCTGGGCTCGGAGGGATTCTATCTTTAGTGTCAGTGACAAACTCCACCCAGAGGAGTTGACAAATGCTACAAAATCAGGACTTCAGAGATCTGGTCGTTAAATGCTTACTGGCAAGCTGCTGCATAGGGAACATTAAAAAAAGACGAAATTTCCCTAACAAGGAACATAGAATTTAGAAAGCAGATTTGGCCCATTTCCCCCAAGATAAGCCGCTTTGATCTGGGAATATTCTAGAAGGATTCAGCAAAACTAAGATTATTCACTTAAAACAGTAGCTCTCAGCTCTGACTGCACATTAGTATGGAGATTTAAAAACCACAGCCTGCCTGGCCTTTCCTCTCAGACCATTTACACCAGAGTGTGAGGGGGTGAGACTGGAGTAGACAAGTTTTTCATTTCTCAGGGGATTCTAATAATGTACTGGGCCTATGAACCACTGCCTTAAAGTGATATTCTGCCCTGCCCCCTAATTAGGCCCAAGCAGTCTTTCCCAATGCTGTGGAGGCTTGCCCCCTTGCTCCTGAAGACCCCTGGATTTCTATCTTTTTCTTGTTTTTAGGGATGTATAGAATGAGCTGAGACGACCCTAGGGCCCCTCCATTCCCTAGTTGTCATCCCAAAGTGTGGGGTGCCTTCAAACTCCCAGAACACTCTGGGGAGGAGGTGGACTGGCGTGTGTCAAATTGATCCTGTTGTCCCTACTTAGGGCTGGCTGTGCTTCCAACTCCATTCTCCTTTTCCATGTGAAGATGGCCTGAGCGTATTCACAGTTTTCCCTCAGCTTACTTGCTCTTAGAGGAGAGAACATGTGGTAATATTCAAATATCTGTTTTCCAAGAGACACCAGTCTGGTGCTGCAACACCACTGGGTCATTACCATACCCCATTACCACAGAAGCACACGGAGTGGGGAGAAACCATCATGGGAATGTCCCAAGGGATCTCTTGTGGCCCAGTGTGTCTCCTATTTTCGTGTTTGAGTTTTATTGCTCTAGTGCTTTCTGTAGGGACAAGCATTACATTAGACGTCATGATCATTAAAATCCTATTTAAAATAAAATGTTTTTGAAGATTTCTAAGAAAACCTATCCAACCTCTTTGCTTGCCTGCCTCTGATTTGATTTTTACCCCTGCTGGGAGAAAGCACATCTGTGCTCCTTTTGCAAGCTGTATTTGGCCCGTGCTGGGGCCCAATTAGTTGACTGTGTGGGGGGTGCAAAGGAAAAGCTCCTGTGTGCTGTGCTGAGCCAGCTGGGGTTATCATTGGCCCTCTCTGTGCACAGGATTTTGCTTCTGTGCTGCTTTATTACTGACCTCAGGCCATATTTGGGTAAGAATAAAAGGGGAAACTGAGTGAATGCAGACATTAGTCACTCAAGCTCCAAACCATACATTCACCAGCCGAACAGCCAGGCAGGCAGCTCTAACCAACAGATTAGAATGTCAGGCTGTTGGACGTTCTGCCTGTCCTACAGCCAGCTTTTCATCCAGGACATCAGACAGTCAGACTGCCCTGCAGCCAGCTAGTCCAGCCATCTGTGCATCAGCCAGACAGCCAGTCACCCTGTACTTTGGTCAAATGGTCCCTCATTGTATTTGTCAGCCAACACCATTCCCTCGAAGCTCTCTCTAGTTTCAGAAACCAAATGAGTCACCCATGCACACATTTCACAACCACCACCCACATTCCAGTTAAGGACAATCTATGTTTTGATGACTCTACGTTTTATTCTAGACTAGATTACAAGCTCCATGAGAGCAGGAGCTGTGTTGGCCGTGTTCTGGGGTTAATGCATGCCTCTCTCAGTGAGTGAGCTATCCAGGAGCTACCTCGCAAGTGTGTGGCAGCTTGCTGAGTGGGCAGAGTGGGGTGCAGGGACATTTCAGCCAGAGGGAAGAGCATAGGTTAGGGTATGGCAGGGTAGAGAACATAATATCTCTGGCAGAATGGGGATGATGTGTCATTGCTGGAGCGTAAGGCAAGGGGCAGTGTTTGGAGGAGGCAGAGCTAGCAGGAGATATGGTTGGGACAGAAGACTGGGTCCAGGTCCTGAAGGGCTTTGTGTGATATTGGAAGGCAGTTGGGTTTGAGGTGATGAGCTATTGAAGATATTTCATGACAGGAAAAGTCGTGTTTTAGAAAGGTCCTTTGGTAGCAAGATGGAGATGAAGTGAGTTGAAACTGGAGGCAGGGAGACCAATCAGGAGGCTACTGGAGGTGCTGAGGTTAGTGTGTCCCCTCCTTTTCTTTATCATAAGCAAATGCCACAATTTGTATATCAAAAAGGAGGCAGCTTGTAGGCAGAGGCAACAGGACACAGCAGCTGAGGTACTCAGTGTCTCAGGACACTTGTCACCCATTCACATACACCCAAGAAGTTTTGGTCTTGGAGGAAGATGATGAGGTTCTGAGATAAAGCAATGGCAGCCGGGATCACTATGATATCTATGAAAGATCCTGAGGCAAGCCTGGCACACCTCGGGCCCTCATGGTGGTGGCAGCTATCCACGCACAGACCTACAGGTATCCTCCTGCCGTTAGTGACAGAAGGTGAGGCAGAAAGGGGTATCTGACTTTTCCCCCCTTCCATTCCCCTTCTGTTCCTACTTTGTTATACACAAATTTGACCATTCCGTTGTGACAGAAGCACCCATTAACTGGAGGTGTAAATACCTCCTCTGCCCCATCCTAATGATGACCAAAGGTGGCATCTCATCCTCGCTCCCTTTCTCACTCGGGTACGGAGGTTCCTGTTCTTCCTCATGGTATGGTGTGAGCGCCATAGGGCATCGCTAGCTCATGGCCTGTGGGGCAGAATCCAGATGCCTTACAAAGACAGGCAGTGTGATTGCATATACAGTAATTGGGGTTTTTTTTTTTTGCATATACAGTAACTATTAAACGATTATTCAAGACAGGACTTGATCCAGCTCCAGATTGTGTGCTATAGACACAGCACGGTATGAGTTCTGAAATAGGTAAAGAGTTCAAGAGGGAATTAAAGTGAAGATTATGGAATCCCCAGCAGAGAGGTGAAAGTCGATGCCTTAGCAGAGAAGAACCTGGGGTTGAGGACAGAGCCCGGAGCATGTATGGGGGTGGGGGGGAAGTTGTGCAGGAGGAGCCTGTGAAAGGAAGATGGAGATGGTGAGAGCTTACAGAACCAGATCACAGGGTCACCTCACAGAAACAGAAGCCAAGAGAAAAATTTCCGGAGAGGAGGGGGATTACTGTTGGCAAGTAAAACAAGCTGAGAGGCGTGAAAAAGGATATAAACTATTGTATTTAGCTCACAAGAGACTTCACTTCTGGATCAGATGGCAAAGTCTGGGGTCTGAAACTTGATCCCATACCTGTTTCTGTACATAAAATTTTAATCGAATACCATCATATCCATGCATTTAGCTTCCAGGTTAATCTATGGCTGACTTTACCCTATGTGGCCTAGTTGTAACAGTCTTTATGACGCACGGGCCTAAAATATTTACTATCGAGCCCTTTACTAAAAATGTTTGTCCATCTCTGATCTATATGAACTACAAACTATTCAACTCAACTATTATGTTGGGGTTTGGGGAGATAGCAAAGGAAACTGGGGCACCTTTAGCTAAAAGCTGAGTTGGTTTGGATTTAGAATTGTTCCCAAGGTAACCATCCAGTCATAGAACGCTGATAGAATTGGTGGCAAGTTCAATCAGATCTTCACGATGTCCCTTCCTTTTACTGCCCTAGCCTCCTCTCAGCTGCACCATGAAGTAGCTTCCTCACTGCTCGGAGAAGGACTCACTCCCTCCTCTTCATTCTCTCAGCTCTTCATGCCTGGTCTGAGAACCCCAAAACGGCAAGGTGACCCTCAGTTCCAGGGCTCCCCATTCAGCCAGTCTTCACTGAACTCTATCTGAAGGCTGCTTCTATCCCTGGGAGGAGGCTCCCATTGATGACTTCAGTGACCAACACTTATCTTCAAGCTATGCTTTTATTTTGTTTGTTTCTTTTTTATTTTTTTTTTAAGATTTTCTTTATGCATACAGAACTGGGGTGCAGGCCAGAGGTGCAGGGGGTGAGAGGATTCACCAGAGACAGAGTGGGGAACAGAACAGGCAGACTGACTGAAATACACTGCTGAGGGGAGCAGCAGGCAAGTCAGGAGAAGTCTGCTGTGCCATGGGGGTAGCTCCCTGGCTGACCGGGGATTGAACTCATGCTGCGGTGGCTGCGGATAGCTTCATAGGTTGAGTCTTAACCCCTTGCGCCACCAGGGAGGCCCTGTTTGTTTGTTTCTTAAAAACCTCAGCAGTATTTATTTATTGAGGTAACATTGGCTTCAACACTCTTTATGATCTAGGGGAATAGGTTTATACTTCCTCAGATGTATGTTACCATACCACACCCACCACCACGGCACCCACAGCCTTTACCATAACCAATGCCCCCCACTCCGCCTTGGTACAAACATTCACCTTCCCCTCCCTTCTAGTATAAACCACACTTTTAAAAATATAGTACAGACACTGAGAAGGTTTCCTCAAAATGTGCTAATTTTTTTCCCCATATTTTAGTTCCAAGTCTCTGAAGCAGTCAATCAGGTAACCCCAGGATAAATTTGATTTAGGGTTAGGAACACAAGTCAATAGAGTATGCTAGTACTTCCCAAAATTGGTTTTTAAAAATGAGAGTCCCACTACTGTGAGATATTCTATATGAAAATAGACTTTTTTGGTCAAATATTTTGGAAAAGTTGGAATACTAAAGCCGCCCTCTTAGATTTTCACAGTGCACGTTTGTATATGAAAAGGTCTGTGCGTTCCCACAAGTGCAAATTGCTGCAAGCTTTGTTTAACCCATTGCTTCACACATGTATCTGGCCAAGGAACTCTTAAAGAGCACCAATGAATGCCACATGGACACTTGAGGAAATAGAGGAAAGAGAGAGAGCAAGAGGCCTGAGCAGGGCCACAGACCAGAAAGATCAACCCAGAATTCTGTTTGATTGCATGTGTCACCCGTGTCTGGGGAGCTGTTCTGGATGTTGTGAGGAGTTATGGAAATGAGCAGGAGATAGTTTGTATGCTCCAGGCACTCCTCAAGGGCATTCCCTAGTTTAGCCTAAATTTTGGGGTTCAACCAGCTGGCCCCTACACCTGCTGAAACCTGACAAACACAAACACAGCCACATAGCAGTCAAGTGATGTTAGGTAATTTTAGACTTTTTCAGTAAAGATGGTTCATTAAATCTGTAATTAAAGGTTGATTTAGTTTTGATACCTGGGTAAGAGTTTACTATAAATAAATTCTCAAATCAGAAGGAAATTCCTTGTCAGGCCACGTGCCTATGTTTGGTTTAGAAGAGTAACTCCTTTACTATGCAAGTCATCTTTTCACTTTCACCCTCCTGGAAATGCACCTGCTTCCCTCCTTCCTGTGTCCTCATGTTTCTTCCCATCCCCTCCAGCCTCTGGTGCTGTTGATGGAGTGGCCGGAAGCCACCAACTTTGCCTGCCTGATTGCTGGGTACTGCCGCCTCCTGCTGGATTCCAGGAAGATGGTCTTCTCCAGGCCCACCAGCCAGCCTCTTCCACCTCCAATGATCAAGGCAGGTAGGGCTCAGCCTCGGTTTTTGGTGTGTCAGAGGCCCTTTAGAGCCTGGAGACTTGGAGGGAGGAACTCTGCTGCTTTAGTCCTCATCCCCTTCTTCCAGGGCCTAGTTTACCAGGAGCTGGTGCTAGACCACAACAAAACTTACCTGTCCAAACCCGTGGGAAAGGCAGCAGGCCTTCAGATGGGCCTGTCCCACAGAGGAGACCTGTGACAACACATTGTGATTGAGTCAGTGAACAAATGAAAGATGAAAATAAAAATAGCAAGCAAGCAATAGAATAGAACCAATTAAAGGATCACATTGGCTCTAAGGTAAGACTTTAGAGGTACATTGATCTAGGAGAGATGCAAGTGTGTTCAGACTTAGTTGAAGTGGAGTTGAAAATAAACACAAAACCTTTCTTTCATATATCTTCAGTAAGAGGCTGTGGAAGGCTGGGGCAGGAAAGGCCATGCAGGCCCAGAGTACAGTCCAATAGGAGGCTTAGAGATAGGAGGGGGCCTTCACTAAGGACAAAGTCAAATGTTGCCCCCAAACAGAAGGCTTCCCAGTTAGGCAACTCCCTGCAGCCACCCATTGGCTCTGTCCTGGTGATGACACAAACAGGGCCTTGGGAGAGCCATCCCAGTCCATTTACTGCTGCCTCGAACCAAAGTGAGAGAACAAGGGGGAGATCCCAGGGGTACTCCCCATATTAGGCATAAAGCTTAGGGACACACAAGTGCTCTCCCGCCCGCCCCATGCTGGGACTCCAATCATCATGGGCAGGGCTGAGAACACCCAGTAGCTGCCTTGTTCTATGCTGAAGACTCCGTGCACTTGCCTCGCCACTTGACTATTTCTTCTCTTCTCAAGACTATCTGGGATTGCAACATGGTCACACCTGATCTAGATGAAGAAGTTCTAGAATAGGGACACTACTGATGACCCAACTCCTACAGGACCCTGTGCCCTCATCCACCACCCTCTTAACTTCTTTGTCTGTTTATCACCAGTATCATGTTGATCTCTCACCACATTGTGCACAGGAATTAGAAGGAATCCACCAAACACAGATTTGGGAAAGCATTAGTGGCCCTAAGTCACATGATGGGGGCCCCACAGAGAGAAGCAAAGGAACTGATCACGAATAAGGATCCAGGGGGGCCGAGCCATCCTATGTCTCCAGGTGAAGGGCTCCAAAGTGTGCTGTCAAACCAATGTGTAGCCAGATGATGGCAAAGCAGCATTAGCATGGCCAGGGTCACCTCTCTGTGATCATACCCAAGTAAATTATACCTCTTACTGAGCAGGATACAGAGGGAGGGAGGGAAAGAGGAAGGTAGAGAGAAGAGCCAGAAACCAGCCCAGGACCAGATGTGGAAGTGAGGGTCATGGGGTGGGGGCAGGGCATCCACTTTCAGAAGACTCTGGGGAAGTGGCACTGTAGTCCATCCTTACTGCCAAAGGGTTTCTTTCATTCCTTCAGCACCCTGGCCAGTGCTGTCCTTAAGTATCGCCCTTGCTGTGGGGCTGGTGTACCAACTGAGGGAGGAAACAGGTGTGTCCTGTCTGTCTCCCTGAACACATTGCATGTTGCATCTCTGTCACTTTTCCAAAGGCAAGTCAATTTCATTAGATTCACTTGAAAAGGAATCTAAGGAAGGTGGCTTGTATAAATGCTGAGCTTGATTTAGAGCCCCTCCCTGATTCCTGAGAGCCCCCTTAGCCTGCAGTGTTCGGGGCTCAGACCGCCTCTAGCACCGGCCCTCTCTGTCCATACAAAAACCAAATGGACCACCATTGTTTCCCCACTCTTCGTAATGCTTCACCTCCGCAGGGGCTTCAGTCCATGCCTGTGCCCAGGACCTTCTGGGCTATTGGATGCAAAGTCAATAGCAGCCACGGAGTGTCCTTGCCAGGTGGGACAGGGTGAGCCTCACCGCTCTGCCTCCCAAGGGTTGGTGTGCACATCTTATCCTGCAGCCCCAAGGAAAGGAAAGAGGGGCCGTTAGCAGCACCCACGGAGCTCTCCACCCAAGTTACAGTACAGGGCCACCAGTTTCTGGTACAAAGTTGAAATCTGTTTCCTCTATCAGCCCCAATTTTCATCCCAGAACAGAAGTCCCGCTGCTGAGCAGGCATCCTGCCAATCTCATCTAGGCTTTTCCCTCAGCGGCCAAAGCTCCGGCCCACACAGGGCGTGATCTCTGGCCCACTCTCTGTTCTTGTTCCACAGCAGCTTCTGGCTGCCAGCTAGCCCAGCTCGATGCTCAGCCAACTGGGCCCACAGGATGTTGTTATACCAGTAACTGGAAAGGAGAAAGCTTCACCTCTTCTTTAAGATCCAGAAAAATGGAAAATGACGTCGTGGAAGGGAAGGGATGACCTCTTAGGCTTTATCAGTAGTTTCCTCAAGTAGTTATTTTGCTCATTCGCTCCATGGTTTTTTTTTAAAAAAAGATTTATTTATTTATGCATACAAAAGCTGGGATGTAGGCCAGAGGGGTGGGGTGGGGGGGTGAGAGGATTCACCAGAGACAGAGCAGGGAACAGAACAGGCAGACTGACTGAAAACACTGCTGAAGGGAGCAGTGGGCGACACAGGAGAGGTCCGCTGTGCCATGTGGGTAGCTACCAGGCCGGCCAGGGATCAAACTTGTGCTGCAGAGGCTGTGGATAGCTTCACAGAGCTGTGTTTAAGCCCTTGCGCCAGCAGGGAGGCCCCTTTCAATGACTGTTTCTCAAGTACTCGTTATGGGCCGGGCACTGCGGATAGAGCCATGAATAACAGACCTGGTCCTTGCCTTCATAGAGCTTACACTCTGGGCCGGTGGGAGGCGGGGGCGGTACAGCAGACAACTAAAGGGGTAATACCAGTGCAGTAATTACCTTTGCATTCATAGAGGGGATACTCAGCTGACACAACAAACAGCACCAGGCTAGAGGACACAGCTTAGGGAAAGACTGAGACAAAAGCCAGTTTTCCGTCTGTACTAAGTTGGTGGGAAATCCAGAGGCAACTGCCATCTCTCTCCATCCTTGAGCTCCCTGTATCCTGGAGGAATACAGGAAAAAAGGCTTTGGGAGCCCTAACTGGGGCCACAGTTGGAGGAACTCACTCTACATTCTCTAACGTGGTTAAAAAACAGTTTGGTCTAATGAACTGAATATTCATGTTAATCGCTAATATATATATATATTATATATATATAATATATATATATATATATCCCATACATGGCTTACCAATTTTCATGTAGTTAAAACTCAGCAACATGTACAGAGTACTAAAGCTAGACGGAACCTAACAGTCTCTTTTTGTTGATGATTCAGAAAGAACATGAGCTTCTTGAATGGCCTCTAGGTCTTCATTAGGACTAGTAATGATCATCGGACTGTAGAATACAGCAAGGCCAAGTGATAGAAATAGCTGCTTGAGTCCGTGTTGTGCTGACTCTGTGTATATATATACATATACACACACACACACATATATACACACACACTCGTGTAAATATTTATATATGTGTATATATGTATGTGTATATACATGTATATATATACATATTTTATATTATATATGTCATATATATGTGAACTGCATTTATTTTGGAACATAGTTCCAGTTGGATCACCATCCTGTTCTTTGCAAGCATTTTTTTAAAGTCAGTCTTCTGAGTGGCTGAGTACAGAGGGATAGCTCTCCCTGGGGTGAGCTGATAAGCAATTTATAGCAGATTTGCAATCTGGGAGACGTGCTGTCCCAGCCATCAACTGACCGCACCTGGTGCTGCTGGCACTTCCAACCTTCAGGTTGGAGGGGATTTGGCTTTTCCAGGTACATTTTCTCTTCTGCACATCCCCGTGCTGCTCCTCTGATCTGGAAATCACAACACGAGTGGTGGACTATACATTACCTGTGCCTTGACAAGTCTGGTTGAGAGGCATTTCCACCTTGCAGGGAGTAAGCCACTGTTAGACCTGGCCCTAGTCTGTGACGACTCACCATCTGCTTGTTGGACATGCCCCTGGGAGCCACCTCTGATGGCAATTTATTGCCAGGCTGATTGCATTTATTGTTCAGCTGTCTCGTAGGTAGTTAGTACCTGATGCATGGCCCAGACCTGCGGACAATGCCTGAGACTAGAGGCCTCTTCAACAGATAGTTCGCACTCCCAGTTCAGTGTTCCGCTAGACCACCTCTTCCCTGAGTCTCCAAGAGCCATACAAACTCTTCTGCAGCTGAGCTAGAGTTCACACATACAGCCTCTGAGGCCTGAATTGGACCCACTCAATAAGGTATGGTCACTTTATATTTAGAGGGGCACATGGTCTATGGAAAACTCGAGGGCTTGGGACCTGAAGTCAGAGAGATGGGGTCCGGTACCTGCTCTGCTGTAGCTATGTGATCATGAGCTAGTTCCATAAACTCAGTCTCAGTTTCCTCATCTGTAAACTAAGGATAATAATATAATAGTACCTAGCTCAAGGGATTTGATAAGCTTATATGTGATAAACCCCATATAGTCCTTCCACAGTAAAGTGTACATTTCTGGTCTTTTTATAATGATTGAGAGTTTATCATGGGCCCAGTGTGTTGCTATTATTTTTATAACTAAACAACTTCATTTAGATATAATTTCCAAGCTATAAAATTTGCCCATTTAAAGTTACTCAATGTTGAGTATACTCAACGTATTCACAAAGTTGTGCAATCCTAGCCACAATTTAATTTTAGAACATTTCACCCCTTCTAAAACAAACTCTGCACCCATTAACACTCGTTCCACCATTTCCCTCCCTCCTAACTACCACTCAGCCCTTAACCAATAATCAAATTTCTCCCTCTACAGCTTTGCCTATTCTAGCTATTTTGGATAAATCGATTCATACAATCTATGGTCGTTTTGTAGCTCGCTTTTTCACTTAGCATAATGTTTTCAAGTGCCATTCATGTTGTGGCATATATCAGGACTTTGTTTCATTCTATTGACTGGTAATATTCCATTGTATGGATAGACTACATTTTGTTTCTCCATTTATCAGTTGATGGACATTAAGGTTATTTCCACCTTTTGGTTATTATGAATAATGATAATATAAATATTCACGTGCAAATTTTTGTCGGGTCATATATTTCCATTTCTCTTCAATATATTCCTAGGAGAGGAATTGTTGGTCAAATGAAAACTGTATGTTTAATTTTGAGAAACTGCCAGAGGTTTTCCAAAGTGACTGCACCGTTTAACAATCCCAATGAGGAAGGTTACAATTTCACCATATCCTCACCAACACTTCTCAGTGTTCACCTTTTCTATGACATCCATTGCGGTAGGTCTGAAGAGATACCTGTTGGTTTCAATTTGCATCACCATGACTGATAATATTGAGCATCTTTTTATATGCTTGTTAGCCCTGTGCATATTTTCTTTGGTAAAATATCTATTCAAATCTTTTGCCCATTTTAACTTGAGTATTTGGTCATAAATATGAGGGTTTATTGCTGGATTCTCAATTATTTTCCATTGATATTTATGTTTTATTGGTATGTCAATACCACACTATCTTGATTACTATTGCTTTGTAGTAAGTTTTGAAATTGAGAAATAAATCTTCTTACTTTGTTCTTCCTTTTTATGATTGTTTTCATTATTCTGGTTCCCTTGTGATTCCACATGAAGTTTTTAATTAACTTGTAGATTTCTACAGAGTCAGCTAGGATTTTGAATGGGGACTGTTGAATCTGTAGATCAACTTTGGAAGTATTGCCATCTCAACTATATTAAGTCTACTAAGCCATGAACAGAGAATATATTTCCCTTTATTTAAAACTTTAATTTTTCACAAATGTTTTATAGTTTTAGTGAACAAGTATTATACTTCTATTAAATTTGTAACTAAGTAATTCTTTTTGATGCCATTGTAAATAGAATTTTCATTATGATTATTCATTGCTAGTATATAAAAATATAATTTCTTTTTATACTCAGCTTTTATCTTGCAACATTGCTGAGCTTGCTTATTAGTTCTAATAGTTTTTTGGTAGACTCCTTATGATTTTCTATATATAAGATCATGTCATCTGCAAAAAAAAGATAGTTTTGCTTCTTCCGTTCCAATTTAGATGCTGTATATTTCATTTTGACTGCTTAGTTGTCCTGGTTATAACTTCCAGTTACAGAGTTGAACAGAAGTGATGAAAACAGAAATCCTGAATGTCTCCTCATCTCAGGGGAAAAGCTTTTAGTATTTCACACTCAACTCTTTCATAAGTAACTTTTATCATGTTGAGAACATTCCCTTTTATTCTAGAGTGCTGATTTTTATCATGAAAAGGTGCTACCTTTTGTCAAATGATTTTTATGTGTTTCCTGAGATACTCATGTTGTCTCTGTCCTCTATTCTGTTATTGTGGTGTAGTGTGTTGATTTTTGGATTTTAAACTAACTTTGTGATCCTACAATAAATCCATCTGGTCATTGCCTATAATTCTTTTTATAAGTTGCTGGATTGAGATTGCTACTATTTTGTTGAGGAATTTTGTATCTCTGTTCATAAGAAGTATTTGTCTGTAGTTTTCTTGTGATGTCTTCATCTGGCTTTGGTATCAGAGTAATGTTGGCCTCATAGAATGAGAAGTGTTCCCTCCTCTTGATGTTGGAAGGGTTTGTGAAGAATTGGTACACATGCTATATGCTTCTTGGAGCATTTAGCAAATTCATCATTGAAGCCATGTGGGCCAGATTTTCATGGGTGGGGGGCAGGAAGGAGAGGATTTTTCATTACTCATTCAAGTTCTTTTCCTGGTATTGCCTTATTCAGATTTTCTGTCTTCTTGAGTCAGTTTTGTAGTCTCTGTATTTCTGGGAATTTGTTCATTTTATTTAGGTTATTAAATTTTTGGCATAAACTTATTTATAATATTCTCTTATAATTGATTCTATGTCCGTAGAGTTAGTACTGATATCCTTCTTCTGTTCCTGATTTTAGTAAAGTGAATATTCTTTTTTGTTGCTTGGTTTATACAGCTAAATGTCTTTTTTTAATCTTTTCAAACAACCACTGTTAGTTTCATTGATTTTTCTCTACTGTTTTTCTATGCTCTATACTTTCTTTCTTTCTGCTTGCTTTGAGTTTAGTTTGCTTTCATTTAATGTTTCTTTTTTTTTTTAATTTTTTTTTTTAACTCAAGCAATGACTGGTCTTTTTAAGGACATTTTTAAAAAAGATTTATTTATTTATACAAGCACTGGGTACAGTCAGAAGCACGGGAGGGTGAGAGAATTCACCAGCAGGGAACAGAACAGGCAGACTGACGAAATACACTGCTGAGGGGAGCAGCGGGAACAGCAGGAGAGGTCTGTGCGCTATGTGGTACCCTCCCGGCGGCCAGGGATTGAACCGGTGCTGCAGAGGCTGTGGGCAGCTTCGCAGCCCAGCACTCAACTGCTGCACCACCAGGGGAGTCCCCATTTCATGTTTCTTAAGGTGAAAGATTAGGTTATTGATGTGAAACCTTTCCTCTTTTCGAATGTAGGTGTTTATAGCTATAAATTTCCCTCTAAACACTACTTTAGCTAGATCCCATAGTTTTACTATTCTGTATCTGTATTTTCATTCATCTCAATGTATTTTCCAATGTCCTTTTTGATTTTTTCTTTGACCGATTGGTTATTTGGGAATGTTTTAATTTCTATGTATTTGTGAATTTCCCAAATTTCTTTGTTATTGCTCTCTAATTTAATTCTGTTGTGTTTAAAAATCAATTCTGTATAATTTAATTCATTTTAAGTTTATTGAGGCTTATTTTATGACTCAAAATATGGTCCATCCTGGAGAACGTTCCAGATGTACTTGAGACTAATGCATATTCTGGTGTTGCTAGGTCGCATGTCCAATAGATTTCTGTTAAGTCTAGTTGGTTTATAGTGTTCTTCTGGTTCTCCGTTTCCTTGCTAATCTTCTGCTTAGTTGTTCTGTCCATTGAGAGTGGGGATCGAGGTCTCCAACTATTGCTATTGAACTGTTTCTCTTTTCAGTTCATTTTTTGCTTCATGCATTTGGGGACTCTGTTGTCCATTACTATGCTTACGCAAAAAGCAGCACTGACACATTAACCCTGTCAAACTGGAATTAGAATGGTGTTTTTAAGTTTTGTTTCCTAGCATCTTGATCACCATGATGAACATTAAGGAAATGATTAAAAACATGGGCTTTCCAATTCCTCAGACCTGGAGTCAAATCCATACTACCGCCTGTGATATTTGTGACCTTGGGCAAGTCACATAAGCAGCTGGACCTGTTTCTTCCTTAGTAGAATGGGGATAATAATAACACCTACCACATTGGTTTGTTGTGAGGATTCAGTGTGATCATGTGTGGTGATCTTCACCTAAGTTAGTGCTTGTTTGTCATCTGTTTATCTGCTGATAGCAAAATGAGCCTGCATTGTCTAAAGTATGTTCTCACAGATAACATGGGGTCCCAAAACAGACTGAGAAAAGCCATTCAGAGATGAAGCATTTGCTACGAATAATTTCCAGATGCACATACCTACCATATAAAAGCTGTTGGCTAATACATTTTTGCCATGCTTCTGAGTAGCAGATTAACTGGCCTTGCATGAATACAGAGAGGTAACATGATTTGAAGAAGTCTAAGCATGCTCCCCCCACCCTCCTCTCACATATGCATATCCCAGCATATCTCCAAGACACTTAACAATATCAGGAATTCTACTAGTATAGGTTTATTCTTTTAGGGTCCCTCTATTGACAGTCCTTTTTGAAATGTGAACTCTTGGGCATTATATGTAGCCTCTTTTATACTTTCCCATTAAAACACTAGTAACTTGATAGATTTAGTTCCTTCTGCTAGGAGAGACCCAATGTAACACACACGCAGCAGAGCAATGTGGAGTAGCAAGGCACTGAAAAGGGTGAGAATAAGGGTAGGAGCCAGGGCAGTTCCAAGGGAGACATAAAACACGTAGGCTTACAGCTGACTCTTGACCAGATAGAGCCAAGTAAACATCCAGTTGTGCCCAGATACCAATGTGTTCACCCGCACCCAACACCACCCCATGCCTTTTTCTACTTCAGAGGTGATGAGGCTATCTACTTCTGGCCATTCCATTCTATTCACTCTATTCACTCTACTTTAAGGGTCAGTAGTGACATGGCTCATTGACTCCCTTCCCCTACTCTCTAGCGCCAGGTAATGCTCTCTCTCCCTCAGTACCTGCCTTACAACTGTGGGCCAGAAACCATAGGTGCCAAAGGAGCTCAGCCTACTCCTCAACACCAGGGCTCATCTGTTGATTCTCTTTCTGGGTTTAGATTACATGCACAGCGCCCACCGCCCTGTCACTGGGGGCCACCTGGGGAAAAAGGAGAGTAGTTATGTGGGCAGCGTGGGCACCAGCCCCAGGAAATCGAGCCGCTGCACGCCCCCGCCTGCCGACTCTGAGCTTGTCAGCTTTTGCTACCTCCACATGCGTGAACAAAGGAAGGAACAGGAAAGCCGGACAGATGTCAACGAGAACTTAATCTTCTTTGAGGAGACCAGGCCCCGGACCAAATCTGACCCCACGTCCAAAAGCTCTGGCCAAGGTTATGATGTGGTCCCCGATGACTTTGATGTAGCCAGCCTAGACCACGAGCCTTGTGCCAGCAGGGCCCGGTCCTACACCTTGGACAATTCCCTTGGGGCTGAAGCCCTGAATTTCTACTGTGACTCTTGCAAAGCCAAACTCCAGGAGCAGCTGGGCCCTCGCAAAAGTGGGAGGCCTGGCTCCTCTCGTGACAATATGATAGACTTAATGTCCCTCCCACCCCCTGGGAGTGAAGAGGAGGAAGAGGAGGAAGATGAGAGCACTTCTTTGTTGCCTGCAATTGCTGCCCCACCTCCTGGTTTCCGAGACAACAGTTCTGATGAGGATGACCCCAAACGCCGGGCCGTCCAGAGCCAGGAGCAAGGACGCCACCTGCGCGGACTCCTGTATGATGAGATTCCAGTGACACTGATTGACAGTGTGCAGACCCGGACAGTCCGAGATCATGCCCAGGAGCTAGATGATGCCCTGGTGTCTACTCTGCAGGCTCTGGAAGCCCTGGCAGCCTCAGAGGATGGACCCCATCCCCCACCCCCACAGACTGCAGGTAACAGCCCATTCCTCCTCTTTCTTGCCTCCCCTTGCCTATCTTGGCCAAGCAGGTCCAGCAGGGGACATTGCTTCTTCCCAAGCAGAGGTCAGTCTTGGTGGTATGTCATGACAGCGGATGGCCAGAGGCAGTTTAGGTAGGGTCCGGGGAGCAGTGACACTGTGGCAGGGATCAACTCCTCAGCTTAGCTAGAGCTCTGGCTTTTGCCATTCCATGTCTTGGAAATGTTTTTCAGTTGGAGCCCAGGATTGGGGCCATGACAAGCTATGGAGCCAGGCCAGGATGTAGGATCAGAATGATATTGTGGAGATATAGAAGACAGGCAAAGAACATCCAGCATGCACATGACTGGAAGGAAAAACAACCACCTAACTGCCTAGTGACCTGGGATCAGGACCCGAGGGCCATCATTACTCCGGCCTGAGGTCTTCATCCTGCCTACGAGGCAAGGCTCTGCATCAGACACACTTGAGTCCTGGCGTCTTTACTTACCATCAGTGTGATCTTCAGCAAGGCACTTACTCTCTCTGAGCCTCACTTTTGGCACCTTAAATGGGTTTGGTAAGAGCAGTCCCATTACATAGGGTTGTTGTGAAGATTAAGTGAGATCATTCATGCTAAGCACTTAAGCACTGCCTGGCCCGTGTAAGGACTCAGTGAGCAGTAGCTGTTATTACTGATTATTTAGTGAGGAAAGCTTACAGCCTGCATACTGTTCCTCTTACAGACACACACGTCCATCTTGTAGACACACAGGTCAGACATGCACCCGTCGTCACTCCTACATACCCCTGTACACATGGAAACCTTAAAAAGAAGTCAATGATGCAGAAACAGAAAAGGAGTAGCGAGGAATAGGGGGCTCTGATGAGGCATGTGAGGCAGGGGAAAGTGTGGACAGTGAATGAAGAGATTGGGGTGAGAGGGAGCCTGACTGACTAGGGGGAGCACCAACCTCTTTGATGCGCAGACCCCACACGTTCAGCCTCTGGGGCTGGCACTTTTTCCGAGCGCTTGCTGCTCCCAGGCATGAGGCTGGCATGGCGGCCAGAGAGAGGAGAAGCTGAGCTAAATGGCCTCAGCTGTGAGGACTGTAGGCCGGCTTGGCCAGATAGAGAGGGACTTCTCTTTGCCAGCCCTCTTCAGGATAATTAACGAAAATATCCTAGTTGTTGAATCTAAAAATAGTGATGATTAGCATGTTGTTTTGCATGTGATTTGCATGTTAATTTGCCATCAAACTACCCAGATCTCCTCTCTGCCTCTTTTGCTTCCCTTTCGAATTCCAGCCCTTCATAACCCTTTCTCCTAGCTTGCCCCTCCCTTCCATCCCAGCCCCTGTCAGCCCTGCAGTCATAGCTTTCCCCCCTCCTGTGCAGGCCTGGCTGGTTTTCCCAGGCTTGAAATACTGCTGGCTGACCTTGACCACCGTAGTCTCTATGTATGTCTGGAAATGGACTTGGTCTTAGTAAGTGCAGCCCTGTCTCTGTTCTTCCAGGTCTGATTGTGCTGGCCACAATCACCCCTGAATCATCGTTGGACTCAGGCCATGAAACCAACTCTTCAGAGCTCACAGACATGTCAGAGATGATGTCTGCCATGAAGCAGCACCAGAACACTACCTACTTCCTGGCCCAGCACCTCAACAAGGATAGCCTCCTGGCCCGCAAGGACCTGCCCTTCCGGATCCAGAGCTGCGCAGCCCAGGCTGTTCTCACAGCCCCTTACTCTCTCGGGCGCCCAGATCCCAACCCATCCCTCCAACCAGCAGTCCCAGGCCAAAGTCCTGGCCCCCCTGGCGCTCGGAGGAAGCTGCTGCAGTCAGAGGCTCAGCCACAGAGAGAGCGAACGTACGCCCTGGCGGTGCACCCGGCACTGTCCCCGCAGCTCAGTGAGCAGAAGAACCTGAGCCTGCTGTCCCCAGTTCCTGAGGACAAAGGGCCTGGCCACACTCGTGGAGGCATGGAGATGTCACTGAGGGCGACCACACCATCCCTCAGTGAAGAGCAGGTCTCTGAGCTGAGGGAGAACCTGCCCAAGGAAGTCAGGTTGAGCCCCAAGCTTATCCTGGACCCAAAGGGCAGTGTGACCCCGGCCATCATCTCAGCCGCCCTACAGCAGGTGGTTCACACTAAGAGTCTAGCCACCCCTGGCGGTGCCTTAGGGACACCCCCCAGCAGTGGGGAGAGAAGACTGGAGGCCAGCGTGGGGAGGCCTGAGGTCAGCATGGGAAGACCAGAAGTTAGCGTGATGAGTGGCAGTACTAAGAATCTTAAGTTCAAAATGAGCCCTGGTGCTCCGGAGACCTCTAGGAATTCCCAACAGCAGCTGAGCCCAGAGATCTCTTCCTGCTCCAGAGCACCCACAAGCAGCCGGGCTGACAGCCTGCACCTCTCCCCTCAAGAAGACAGGCTGCCTGCCCAAAGTTTCCCCCCCAAAAGCTATCTTGCACGAGCAAGTCGAGAGTCAGTGAGCAAGCAAGCGATAGGGGAGGTGGTAGGCAAGGGTGGGCCAGAGGGTACTAAGCTTGCCCTACATAAGCAGGGCACTGTCTCTAGCCAGGGGGAGAAGGGGCAGCTGGAGATCACGCCCCAAGGCAGCAAGCTTGAGGAGACCAGCCTGGTCCCCCGAGCCAGCTACCCCATGGCTCTGCAGAGCCCCAGCTGCCAGCCACGAGGCCACAGCCCCAGCTGCCAGCCACGAGGCCACAGCCCCAGCTGCCAGCCCCGTGGACACAGCCCCAGCAATCAGTCCCGAGGTCAGAGTCCCAGCTGCCAACCTCGAGGTCAGAGCCCATTGAGGCCTCAGGTCACCAGCCGGCAGGTGAGCACGATGCCCTCCAGGAAGCTTGAAACAACCCTGGATGGAGCCCACTCGGCCTCGGAAGGCCCCACAAAGCCCAAATCATCCCGAGGGCCTTTCCGACTTCGCAATTTGTTCTCTGCCACTTTCCCCACCCGCCAGAAGAAGGAGACCGATGAGCGGCAGGCACAGCTACAGAAGGTAAAGCAGTATGAACTGGAGTTCCTGGAGGAACTTCTAAAGCCTCCAAGCCAGGGGGAACTGCCAAGCACCGAGTACCTGCAACCCCCAGCACCTGGCCGCTGTGGCTGCCAGCTCCGCAGCAGCCCCGTGCAACAGGGGCCTGGCATGTCCCGCGAGCAGAGGCGCAGCTGTGATTGCAAGCGTATCTGCCGGGGGGGCCGCCCTCAGGCCCCCCAGACGCCAGTGCCCAGTCTCCGGGGGCGGGAGAAGGACAGGGTTCCCCCTACCCAGAGGCAGCCAGAGGCCGGCCCAGCCTTGAGCCTCAGCAGCCCCATCAATGTCAGGCGCATCCGCTCCACCAGCCTGGAATCCCGAGAGTGTCGATCGGACCCTGAGAGTGGTATATCATGCCTGACCACGTGTGCCTCGGGGGGCGAGTGTCTGGGAGCTCCCAACTACAGGAAACTGATGCGCCGCTACAGTATCGGTGAGCTGGACCAGGGTGACAGGGCCTCGCTGACCTCGGATGTCTACCCACACCCACCCCTGGGCATGCTGCCCCGGGAGGCCAAGGAGGTAGAGGCGGGCCTCCCCCTAGGCTTGGGTACCAAAAGCAAGTCTCCGGAGTCACCCACCCTAGGAGATCCCTCCTATGTCCAGGTTGCCCCTGAGACCAAAGGCCCCAGACCAATGGCTGTGTTCTCACTGCCGGAAGAGGTGTACCGGAAGCCCGCCGAGCTGGACGACGAGAGCGAGAGCAGCAAGTGCTGCTCCATCCGCTATTGCTTCTACTACCGCAAGTGCGACATGGCTGACGATGCCAGCGACGGCAAGGACGAGCTCTCCTACTCCATCCCCATGAAGATTCTGCCTGGCATGAAGCTGGATGAGCAGGTAGTGCCTGTGGTGAGCAGGACCCTGCAGGTACTGGACGCCGCCACCTGCAGCAGCAGCAGCCCCGAGGCGGCCCGCACCCAGGAGATTGACCTGCGGGCGTCCACCTTTGAGGGGAGCCTGGCAAAGATCAATGCCCTGCGGGCCCACGCCTATGGCCTGCCCGATGGCTTCCTGGCCGCCCGACTGGATACCAACGAGCTGCTGACAGTCCTGCGGCAGTGTGTGGCTAGCCCCGAGGCCCGTGCCCCCAAGCCCTATGTCTCCCAGATCTCTGAGTACAAGCTTGAACTGGCTCTCAAGTTCAAGGAGCTCCGGGCCTCTTGCCGCCGCGTGGCCAACGTGGACAAGAGCCCGACTCACATGCTGGCAGCCATCACAGGCAGCTTCCAGGTGCTGAGCAGCCTCATTGAGACCTTCGTGCGGCTGGTGTTCATCGTGCGCTCCGAGGCCCAGCGCCAAGAGCTGCTGGCCAAGGTAGAAGAGGTGGTGAGGAACTACACCTTCCTGCTGCGCGCAGCCGAGGAGTCTACTGCCCGGAACCTTAACCAGCAGCAGCAGCAGCAGCAGCAGCAGCAGCAGCAGCAGCAGCAGCAGCAGCAGGCAGCAGCTGCTATAGGGGCAGCCCCTGGGCACCCACCAGGCTCCCCAACTTCGGCGACTGTTATGAGCACATTCACCCGCTCCTTAAAAACCCTTATTAAGTAGGGCATCTGCCCAGGCCTGCCCCCTTCCCCAACACGGCCCCAGGTTTGAGCTTTGTGGTCCTTGCATCTTGTAGTGAGTGTATGTGTCTTCTCGGCCAGTCAGGGTCCGAGAGCCTTCAGTGTCCAGGGAGTGCAGCTCCCTGGGCTGAGGCTGTCCCTGAGGGCTCCAGGCCGCCACCGCCCTGGGTATCCTTGCCCCTTCCCTGGCCTCTGGGCGTCACTGTGAGGGCAAAAGCCCCTTGTCACTACGCCCGCCCCCGAGCTTTATTTTATCCCTTCTTTGGGACTGAGAGGTGACATCAAGCTCACTTCCTGTTCCTTGTGCGGGGATTGGGGAGCTGGGCCTGAAGCAAGCAGGGCCATGGGTCTTGAGCTCCTCCTGGCATCTGCTCCCCTCCAGGGACCAGTGGCAACAGCAGCAGGCCACAGCACCGAGCAGAGGGGAGAGGGCACTCAGCCCAGCTGTGCCCACCCACCCTGGGCTCACCCTCGCCTGTCAGTAGCCACCCCAGAGGGTCTGTGCCCACGTGGTAGGTTTGCAGAAAACGGCCACGCGGGGCTGTCTGTGGCCGGCCCAATAGGCTGGCAGCCTCGGGGCCCTCACCCCCCAGGCCCGGTAGCTCCACACCAGCCATCCCCAAAGTGCTCTGCCTGTCGCTTGACGGGCAGGGCGGCTCAGTCCACTAGGGAGCAAGTATCTGGGATCATCCCACTTGTCCTGGGTAAGGTACCTGGTGAAAATTTCTGCCCTGGGGAGACTCAGTGCAGACCTCAGAGCCCGCCCGGCCCAGCCTGGCCCAGCGCAGGGCTGTCCCTGCAGGCGTGCGGCTCGTCTCTCAACATCTCTCTACCAGACAGACTGTCCTTAGGAGTTCGACGTAGCTTTGGATCGGGGAAGGGGGGGGGGGGGGGGGGAGGGGAGGGGCTGGGGTGTCGACGACTATATCTTAAACTTCTGGAAGCTAGCGTGATATGTTTATCCTGAGTATATGCTTTTGGCTGTGTATTGACCCTGTGGATTTGTCTCTTAAGAAAAGAAGCTGAGCGCCTTATCCGGTGCAGCCCTGCACCTCTCTCTCTCCGGAGTCATCTGGAAGGGAATTCACACTGTTTAGCATCCTCCTTGACACACATCTACTGCTGCCACCACCGCCCCCTGTAACCTTCCTGGGAGTGAAGACACGGAGTCCCTACCGATGGTCCCACCGTAGGGAACAAAGAAAGCCAATGTTTCTTCTGTATAGATTGCTTCTCGTCCACCTCTCCATCCCGCCCGCCTCCCATATGCTTGTGCCCTGTGTCTGCCTCTCTGTCACCGGGACGTGAGAGGCCGCGTGAAATCTCATTCTTATGTGAGTTTTATAAAGATGTACACTGTGCTTAACCCCCACCCATCCTTGTACCCCCTAGTGCAATAAACCCCCCTGAGTGGTGATTTCTCCTGGCAAGAAGTGGGGGAGCTCCTTCTGCAGAAGCCAGTCCCCCCTTCCTTGCCTCTCCCACAGGACTCAGTTGTTTGATGGATCAGAGATGCAGCCGGTGGGGGACCCTTCTCCCCATGACCACTGCAAGCTCGAGTGCCGACGTGGCTCCCCTTCTCCCAACTTCTTGCTCCTGCGCCTTTGCCACTCAGGCCCCGCTTGTGTCATCGCACCACCATCTGTCACCTCTCCCTCAGCCTCACGGAGAGGACACATTTTGTAATGTCTGTATATAGTATATATACTACACAAAATATATAAATTATATATATACTAATTTATGTCTTGTTTTTCAAACAAGAATGATTAAATCTATTCATCTTACTATCCCAGTAAGCCTTTGTGGTGTCTCTTTGTGGGTGTCCTTGAGTTGTGGGTTAATGGCAGCCCCCTGAGTGCTCCCCAAGTAAGCCTGTGCCTGGGCCCCCAGGGTGATGAGGACGCTGCTCCCCCTAACCTCCCTTTGCTTCTCTTAGAAGCCTCCTACTGGTTACAGGCCTTGGAAATGGCCTACTCTTTTCTCACGACCTCAGGGGTCACCTGGCCACCTCGGCTGTGATCTCAGAAGTGAAGGGGGGTAGGGTCAGGTGAAGGCGAAAGCACAATGCCCTCCCTGCTTAGCACACTGGTGGCCTCAGACGAGGAGGCGGGGGTCTTAGGCCAACACTCGGGTCAGGACTGGGAGATGGAGCCTCCCTCTGAAGCCTGTCCAGTCACCTCAGAGCGCAGCCTCACAGCCTTGCAACAGCTTCTGGCAGGTTATGGTGGTGGGGGGAGGGGTGTTTCCACAGAAGTTTCCAAAGGACCTAAACTGACCTCTCAGGCTTTTCAGGGTTAACTACTGGTGAGAAATGGTCTTGTTTCTTTTCTTCTTTTCTTCTGGTAATCTCAGGTTCCCACTAGCCTGAGACTCCTTTGTGTCAGTTGGAAAAATGTTCCCCATCACTTCCATCCCCTACAAGGAATTAGGAACACCCCATCACCTTCTGGGTGATGCTAGCTGTGGGCATGTGGCTTGGTCCTTTCAGCCCATCTAGGCCCACTTGCCTCGCTGGCCAGGTGGACACACTCTATAGCCATGTACAGTGGCCTTGGCCTGATCAATCACTTCCTCCCAATGGTTGAGCACAGCCTCTTTTGCTCATGTCTGCAAGGGTGTGGCTAAAGCGGTCTGGAAGCAAAGCATGGAGGAGGAGCCAGAAAGAGTCAGGCTGGGCTGCTCTGTGGTGGGAGGCCACCAGGAGCAACAGGCTTGGCCCTGGGCACAGACCTCTTCTGGGAGCTGCCCAACAGGGACACTGTCCCACAACACCAAGGTTGGGACTCTGGAAGCTCGTGCCAGAGTCAAGTGAGGCCTCCTACCACTCAACACGACCCAACCAGTCCACCCTGACACTTTGGGACCCTTGGGCCCATTGCTGTACTCTAGTACCTCCTTATAGTCAGAAAATGTTCTCACTGAGTTCTGTGCCCAGGGTGCCCACCCACACAGTACCAGCATACACATATCTTGAATAAATATTTGTTGAATGAGATGACTATCATCAGTGCCCTCCCAGAAGGCACCTCGTGAAAAGGGCCCATCCTCTAGGAAGGGTCGATCCAGAGTGGTGCAGTTTTGATGATGCTGGGCAGCCTGGCATCCACCAAGCAAAGGTTAAGGAGTCTGGTCCATCATCTGATGATCTACTGACTAAGCTGAGTTTCTCCAACTACTTTTCCAAAGCTTCAGAAACTCCTGAGATGACAGATGATCTCCTAGTCTGTGAACCCAGGGTCATTTTCTGCAGCAGCTGGTAGCATGGGGCCATGGGGCGGCTGGTGAGGCAGAGTCCCATTTGCATCTTCCTCACCCTCTTTGGCCTAAGCCAGAGCCTGTTTCCTAGAAACGAGTCCCCAGAGCTTGACTCCTGCCTTTCTGACTCAGTCAATTAAAGGAAAATAGGTTCATGTTGGCCTGGGCCCGGGATGCCCATATTGCTGGCACAGCCACATTTTTTCACGGTGTTGTCTAGGCACTGTGGACAATGGGCAGTTTCATCAGTAGTAAATCGAAAGGACCTGCCTCAGCCAGAAGTTCTCCTCCTAAAGGGGGAGGGAAGGATCAAATCCCTCCAAGCACCACTGATATGGGAGTAATAACTCCTTCCCATACCCTGCTCTGCAGGCTGGAAGACAGGCTGTGGGGGTGCATCTGGAGCAAGGAAGAGGAGTGGGAGGGAACGAACACTAAGGATTCAGCCCTGGGCCCTGGCAAAATGTCCAGGACTCCAGGTGGATCGCTTGGGTCCAAGCCATGACCTGCCCAATGCTGCTGGTAGGTGGCAATCATGGAGGCCTCTCACAGGCACAGAACTGCTTGTTTCATTTCTCTAGTGACCCCCTTTCCACCCATGCCCACGCACCCATGCTGCAGTCCTTGGGTACTGCCCATGCTCCTAGCATCTCGGAGACATACTCTGACATCTGTGTTGACATTTCCAGTGGCAGGGTCTGGACCACTTTAGCTTCCCTGCGCTCCTTTCTGTGATAGCTGCCCTTCCCTCTGATTGTTGATTCCGCATCATTTTCCCAGGTTTGGCTAAAAAGGAATGTGCATCTGTACTATGTTGGAAACATTCTACAGCCCAGAAAAGTTGATCCCTGCCCTTAAACACACAAGAACAACTGTGTATAGCACTTGCCATATGCCCAGCACTGTGCTAAGTGCTTACACGCACAATTTCATTTAATCTTCTAACCATCCTTCAACCAAGATAACTTTCATCACATCCACCTTCTCGGAGGATGAAATGGAAGCCGAGAGAGGTTAAGTAACTAGGCTGAGGTCACACAGCTGGAAAGCAGTAAGCCCAGCCTAGGCTTTCAAAGTGCTACCCTACAGTGCTCAGCCCAACCCCACCTGGAAACAGGTATGGATACAGCCACACTCCTCAGAAGACGGCCTATAATTGTTGCTTGGTGTCTTGGCAGCATATGGGTAACAAGTTGTTGGTAACATTGGTGTGTAAGATTCAGAATACCGAAGACCTCCTGCTCCTGCTCTGTTCAAGGGGCTGCCCTAGTGCCACATGCCTCAAGGAGCCAGGGGTGGGGGGAGTAGTATGTGAGCATGGACATTTGTGCAAAGAGCACTTGTTCCCAAAAAGTTACCACAAAAATTATAAGGGCAGGGCCTCCCCTGGTGACGCAGGAGGTTGAGCACCGTGCTGTGAAGCGGTCCGCAGCCTCTGCAGCGCTGATTCTGTTGCGTTGGGCAACACCACACTGACAAACGGGAGTCGTGGAGCAGGCTACAAAATGCAGGATACTGCTGAAGAGCAAGATCCTGGCCCTTTTATTGACACATGTAATTGGTTTTTAGGAGATTAGGGAGATTAAGGAAAGGGGAAGGGTGTAGAAGATTAGGGATTGTGAGTCTGCCCTCCAGGCACTTCTAATCTATTTGATGCTACACCCTAATCCCCAGCCATGGTTCTAATCTCATCAACAAGGCCCTCCACTGATCAGCTTTTGGGGTCCCTTGTCATACATTGGTCCTCGGCCCCCCGGGCATTCCCAGTCATACCTCATGATGTATAAATCGGGTGTATATGTTGTGCATCCGTCCTCAGCCCCCTGGGCTTTCTGGACATACCTCATTGATGCATGTTATGCATTGGTCCTCAGCCCTCCGGGCGTTCTGGACATACCTTGTGATGCACAGCCTTCCCAGTGTGATCCAGCTTTGTGCTCTTGTTTGATCTGAAGGGCTTAAGGGTTAGGGCTCCTGTTCCTAACTGGCCAGACCACTTTGACCTTGTTTAAGTAACAAAATGGTGGCCGTATAGGCTGCCGAGGAGTAGCAGACCCACAGATTCGATCCCGGCCGGCCGGCGAGGGTCCTACATGGTGCAGCAGACCTCTCCTGTCTCGCCCACTGCTCCCCTCAGCAGTGAATTTCATCAGTCTGCCTGTTCTGTTCCCTGCTCTGTCTCTGGTGAATCCTCTCACCCTCCCGTGCATCTGGCCTGTACCCCAGATCTTGTGTAGATAAATAAATAAATCTTTAAAAAAAATTATAAGGGCCCCTTGTGTGCCTCAAACTGGGGTCTGAGTCTCCCAGGGGACAGAGTGGCTCCATGGGTCCATACTCCTCATGTATTTGAATCTTAAATATTTGGGAGGAAAACATTATGCTGATGATACAGCAAGTATTTTTAGGTGAAAATATCAGAGACAAATGGAGAAGTTGCATTTCTTGTGAAGAATACCTGTCATTTCAAAGACACTTGAAGCCTTGTGCCTGATACTGCTGGCTCCGCTCCCATGCCCACCAACCCGGTGGCCAGGCTCACACCCCTCCCCCCCTGGATAGGCTTCGGTGGAAATGCTCGCCACACTTGAGATATCTCAGATGGGATAACTG